ACACCGATGGGAACTCGATGCCAGCCAATACGTACGATGACATGAATAGTCTGTTATGAAGATTTTCTGCGGCCACGTGTTTTCTCTTGTACCAGTGAGAATGCGCTGAAGCCGATATCTCAGTCCGCCTACAGCTAAAGACCACCACTGGAGACCTACCCCTTGGATAGAGAAGACGCGGCTTTGTCAGTTGCCTTACCTGATGGCAGACCCGAGATTTCTCCAAAAGGTATTGCTCCACACGAGCGCCCTCAATCACTCCAGCCTCGTTGAAGAAGATCTCCAAATACTTTCCAAAACGACTGGAGTTGTCATTCCTGATGGTCTTAGCATTCCCAAAAGCTTGGAAAGTTTAGATTGCGCAAAACAGGTTTCAGCGTAGGAAATTCTTGAAAACGTTTGTAAACGACACACGGTGATGCAATTGAAATATTTCTGCAGCATTTCATGTAAAAAGCGGGATTCTTAAGTATTGAGGTACCTTCCAAAATCGGGTTGGACTCCAAGATCTGCTTTTCAATCTGCTGCTGAGAGAGCTCACCGCTGACCGCTGCCAAGTACTGCAAGAGCAACTTGGTGCTTTCCGTCTTGCCGGCTCCAGACTCTCCACTTTGAGAGAGAACCGACGCTTGAAATTCTCACTTTTTTTGTGATCCCGATTCAGCTTTCTCTAAATTCGAATTCATCCGACCTGATGATGCAGCACTGGTTCCTAAGATGGCGTTTCATGTTGAAGTAGCAGGATTCGGCGATGGCAAAGATGTGTGGAGGGAGTTCCCCGAGCTTTTTACCGCGGTACAGTCTTACCTGAAGGACAGCATGATGAACAGATTAAACGTGGCAAAAAAAAAAAATAAAAATCTAAATTCATATGATTACTGAGGTACTGACAACTCACCTGCTCATTTGAATATATGGGGAAAAATTGGTATGGGTTCACCGCAACCAGAACGGAGCCCGTGTACGTCTGGGAAATAAGTGTCACGTCAGTACATGCCTTGTCGCAATATACACAGTTCATCAGAATTTTCGGGTTTCAAGAGATCTGCCGAAAACGTCTCACTACAATACTCGAGAATATTTTTTCCTATATGATACATCATGATTTATATCACGCTTTCACAAATAACATTTAACATAAATAATCATCCCCTCGACCCTTGTGAGGATTAAGAGGTTCGGAAAATGAATGAATGAATGAATAAATAATCATAAATAAGTGAAAGTCACAAAGGCTTGTTGCTGGATTTGAAGCAAACTTTAACCAGGGGGATTTTTTTATTTTTTTGCTGGAGCCGCTCAACATATTTCGAACATCTGTAGCCTATGTTTCATTCTCCGAATACGCCGTTGAAGCAAACTTGCGTGGAACGTACGTAGATGATTCCTTGTTTGTGGCGCAGCAGCAAGTTTCGTAGTAGGCCAGCCTCCGTCATGTCACCCAGTTTGATCATGTCGTCCACCCCCTCCACTGACGTAGGGTGCATGATCTTGAGGGAGCCTTCTTGCTCCGGTGACAAACTGTGCTCCTGGGCAAAAAAGAAACCGAATTGTAAGTCGGGAATTCAGTGACACGGCGAGTTCAAGTGGACTCTGGAATGTCATCGGTGAGTTTCGAGTCAATTGAGAATGCTTCACCTTTCCCGCATCATCCACCAGTAAACGCTGGCCGCTGGGCGTTACTTTGACCTTAGCTCCAATTGGCACGCCGGTGCCTGAGTCCAGCCAAACCCATTCCCCCTGAAAGCAGCAAACGATATTCATAGATCACATCATCAATTCGCGATGGGCTACTTTTTTTTTGTTGTTGTCATCTACAGCAATTCTTGGATAACCATAAAGGCGTCGAGGTTTCCGGCCTCACCTTTCTCAGCATCACCGATTTGCAGGGTTCCTAGCATCCAAAATACAGAACAAGCGGGATAATAATCAACCAGTTTCATTTGGAGAGCAAAGCTCGAACCCAAAATGTAGACATCAGTCAAATCGAGCCAACAGTTCACAGTACACTTAAGAATCGACAAAAGGAGATGAAATGATCAGCAATTCTGTTCAATCTTCTCACACTGACAAAACAAATGTAACCAGAGGGGTACCTTTTCAATTCTTGTATCGGTCTTCTTCGTGAAATCCCTTCGTTTAGCCTCCCGGTAAGAGCCGCTCTCTATGTTCACACCGTCCCGCTGTGGAGCGCGAGGAAACTCCCGGGGCAAATAAACTTTATGACACTTTGACTTTGTACCGACAGGCCCAGAAGGAAGTAGGGTAGAAGGTGGCCGGTTGCATTAGGTTGATCGTGTCACGCATTTTATAATAAGGAGGCGGCTTACAAGAGAGGTCACGTCCATTTGGTTTTCTCGATACAAACAATGACATCAACTGCAATACCGTATCGCGATGACGCCCTAAAAGATTCAAATAACGCCTTGTGTTTATGGGCTCAGCTCAAACTTTTTGAGATAATTGTACAAACCCAGTTGGCATCATGACATGCAAGTGGGTGTAAATGTGGCTTATTGAAAGCTCCTTGTGGGCATTGTGAATTTACTGGGTTCAAACGGAGCGTGTTGGTGAATTTATATGCAGACTTTGGACCCTGGCGGGGTCTACGAGGCGTGCCTGTCAGGAATCTCTCAGATTGTCTCGGCAATAAAGATGTAAATAGGAGATAAAACTAATCAACAGAGAGGGAATCACTGCTCTCTTCAGGGGAGCATCCATGTGGCGCTTATCTCTGATGTCAGTCTCATCTGTCAAGTGGCGGCTTCATTGTGTGTGGGTTTCTGGAAAACAATCCATTTTTACATTTCCGTACTCTTGCGGTCACCCTTTTTCTGTTCCAGACTGACCCCGGCCCCCCCATCACAGAAGCGAAAGCTTATGCGGCCCTCACAGGAAAAAGTTTGGGGACCGCTGCCCTAAAAGATTCAAATAACGCCTTGTGTTTATGGGCTCAGCTCAAACTTTGAGATAATTGTACAAACCCAGTTGGCATCATGACATGCAAGTGGGTGTAAATGTGGCTTATTGAAAGCTCCTTGTGGGCATTGTGAATTTACTGGGTTCAAACGGAGCGTGTTGGTGAATTTATATGCAGACTTTGGACCCTGGCGGGGTCTACGAGGCGTGCCTGTCAGGAATCTCTCAGATTGTCTCGGCAATAAAGATGTAAATAGGAGATAAAACTAATCAACAGAGAGGGAATCACTGCTCTCTTCAGGGGAGCATCCATGTGGCGCTTATCTCTGAGCTCATATCTGTTTGGTAAACGCGAGAGATTTATGTTAAGTTTGCTTTACTGTCGCTGTCAGTTTCCAGAAGCCAGTCGGTTGAATGTATACTTCACACTCTTAAGTACGTGCTGCCGTAACCGTCAATCAAGCATAGGTTGCCAGGGTGTATTTTTCCAAGTGGTGACGCCGCAACTGTTATCAGCACGGACACAGCAAGGCAAACAGATTTAAATTGACGCAAAATAAACATCAAATAAAAGCAATTCCGGTCCTCGCGCTACTGGCAATGGTCATTGGCAAACCAAAAGATGGATGGATATGTCTGGAGCGCTTACTGTCGGTGTGGTGACAACATACCTCGCTGGATCATGTTGACGTGGGATACAAAAATTGGATGTTTGGCCCGCGTATGTTTATCATGACTCTAGAATGCAAAGTGTATCTTGCGTAATGTTTCTGGGGTGCACCTGGTATAAAAGGTCGACACGCCACAGATAAATGCGTTGCCGTTTGTTGAAAATAAAAAATGATATGCTGCCGCTGTCGAAAAAGCGCTATACTGGATACAAATAATGATGTATTGTATTGTAAGTGCGGAGCGAACACCTGCAAAATTCAGTTGGGATAACAATTGGTGGGCAAGCAAGAGGGTTAATTAAAAACTAAAATAATGCGGTTGCATAAGTTTATACACACTTTAACTATTGTACTTCCGTGTCAAACAACTTTGACACACCCTTGAATCAACATCACCCATTTTCACGATGCAATATTTGACTTCTTCCATGTGAAGTCTTAAACATCTCAGATGTGGAAATCATCTCGTGTAGCATTTCACCACACGCGATCGTCAACTGTCGGCACTCAGTTATCAAAACGAGAATGCTCTCTCTTTGTAAAGAGATACGGACAATGCATTTCCAAGTATGTTTATTTCTCCAAAGATCAACGATCAGTCTTTCCCTGTGCAGCTTTCTATTCAACGGAATCCGGTTATATGTCAAGTAAATACATTTTTTTCTTGAACTTATAAGTCCCATGCCACATTGTTAAGCCTGTTATTGTTTAATAACTCCCCTCTACATGTTCCCCAAAATTCACATGTAACAAGTTATGACTTGAAGACGTCTGTGTTACAGTATTTTGTTTGCCACATAGCACCACCGAGTGGCGACAAGAAATACCTTTTACATTTTATCATACTGCCACCAAGTGCACTGGCCAGATCCACTTGAATCTTTTAACGGAATCCGGTTATATGTCAAGTAAATACTTTTTTTTTCTTGAACTTAAAAGTCCCATGCCACATTGTTAAGACTGTTATTGTTTAATAACTCCCCTCTACATGCTCCCCAAAATTCACATGTAACAAGTTATGACTTGAAGACGTCTGTGTTACAGTATTTTGTTTGCCACATAGCACCACCGAGTGGCGACAAGAAATACCTTTTACATTTTATCATACTGCCACCAAGTGCACTGGCCAGATCCACTTGAATCATGCTCTACTGTAAATTTCACGTTTCAGTAAAGGGCGTGGCCACAGCAGCGGCCGTGAATTCTGATGATCAAAGGCGGCAACAAAATCTGTTGGAACTTGGGTCCAGATGGTCATCCGCCCATTCATTCTTGGAACCTTTTACTTTGGAGTCAGCCTATCCTCCACTAAGCGTCTCCAGTTGGTCCAGAATGCTGCTGCTCATGACTCAGCATGAGGCTTGATTTTTAGTTTGACTGTTTTTGTGCTTTCTACTGTCTTTGTTATTCATTTATTGTTTGCTTGTTTGTTTTATGAATGATTTTTGCTCCATGTACAGCACTTTGTATACAGCGGTGGTTGTTTTAAAGTGTTCTATAAATACAGTCGAGTTGACTAATGAATAGCGCTGACATGAAACGCTTTCACCTTTTATCATCTATTGCAAACAATTAACAAGCCGCATAGATGTTAAACTCCAACCATGTCACAGACTCACTGTGACCCTTACAATGCGTAAAACAGTGAAAACTTTCTGATTCCGATGGCATGGGACCTCAAAAACACATTTAAAGCTCAAGCTGAAGCAAAACAAAAACATTGCACACGGCATGAACTGGAAACAAACAAGAATCACTGTTTCAAATAAACAGTTCAATGAAATTCAACATGCGCTATATTAAGGTACGGTACTTATGAAGCATGACAGGACTTTCACCTTTTATCATCTATTGCAAACAATTAGCAAGCTGCATAGATGTTAAACTCCAACCATGTCACAGATTCACTGTGACCCTTACAATGCGTAAAACAGTGAAAACTTTCTGATTTCGATGGCATGGGACCTCAAAAACACAGTTAAAGCTCAGGCTGAAGCAAAACAAAAACATCGCACACAGCATGAACTGGAAACAAACAAGAATCACTGTTTCAAATAAACAGTTCAATGAAATTCAACATGCGCTATATTAAGGTACGGTACTTATGAAGCATGACAGGGGCTTATTCAAAAGTAAAATCGCAACATTTTTAAAAGTCTCCACATTAAAAAAAACAAACAAACCCAAAACAAATCAAAATACTTCGCTGTCAGCTAACTTCGGCTAAGCTAAATCATGTTCAGCAGCAATTTATTCGATGGCATGGGACCTCAAAAACACAGTTAAAGCTCAGGCTGAAGCAAAACAAAAACATCGCACACAGCATGAACTGGAAACAAACAAGAATCACTGTTTCAAATAAACAGTTCAATGAAATTCAACATGCGCTATATTGAGGTACGGTACTTATGAAGCATGACGGGCTTATTCAAAAGTAAAATCTCAACATTTTTATAAGTCTCCACATTTAAAAAAACAAACAAACCCAAAACAAATCAAAATACTTCGCTGTCAGCTAAGTTCGGCTAAGCTAAATCATGTTCAGCAGCAATTTATATTCAAGTTTCTCCCAAATCTTATCATAAAAAAGAGCGAATAAATTATTTATCTCATTACAATACATGAGCTTAGTCTCGGCCTTGCTGAAACCATTTTCAAGAAACATATTCCATTGTGACATCACAAACTGTACTATGTGAAAAATACATGTTTCACGACTTAAAATGAAGTAGCCACATAAATAATACAAGTTAAGAAATACCAGTTGAGGTATTCACCTATCTTAGTAAAAGCAATTAAAGTTCCACCAGCCATCTACAAGGGCCAAATACACCAAAACGTAGGCTGTATGAACTCACAACAACTAATGATGTTTTACCTAAAGAAGGCTCAGTATCTTAAGACCGGATCAAATATATATTGCACTAAATGAAATGACATGACAGTCTCTATAATCGATTTTGTCGACTCAATTGACGACACCGGCATACCATGATTAATTAGTGAGTTCACAAAGCGTTAAAAGTGATAAGTCGCAATGTCAGACTGCATATCTGAGTGTTTTGCAGCTAAGGGAAGTGTCCATGTGTAAAACAATAACACTGCTTACATGACGTGTCAAGCATTTATGGCGCAATCGCATTGGGCCTCTTGAGTAATGTGCTGCATTTCATGGCCACGCCGTCTGCCTTGAGCTGCACCTCCACTCGTGTGAAGATGGAAATGACCTGTGGAGATGGCAACAATTCACAAACACACTATTCATCGCGACAAATGGATGTTACCATCCTGGCCACATCTTAGTTGCCTGTTTTTGGGCTTCCTGCCATTTAGTCGTGATTATGGTCTAAAGCAAAAACAAAACAAACAGACGAAAAAACGAAACAAAACAGCAGAAAGGACACTACTAAAAAAAGCTAGAAGAAGACTATCATTAAAAGTTTCACCTGCTCAAGGGGAGGCTCCTGTGGGTCCTCTGGTGTCCACAGGAGAGTCAGCTCAGATTTCTTCCCGACCTTGCGATGGTGGAATGAGGCCAGGCCGGTGACAGACTGATGGTCACAGAAAATAATAAAAATGCTTTGATGAAATAAATCAAGCTTCAGGCTTGTGCGCTGTTCTTCTGCCCTTTTTATCAAACGCCCCGTGTATCAGGCAGCCAACGTTCAGCTTAGCTGTCATGTCACTGGTAGATAAGAAGTGCCAGAAGATCTGCTCCATTCATCAACAGTTGTGAGGTTACAGATAATTCAATTGTTTGAGTGCAATGCTTGAGTTTGAAATTGGCCAAAGTAGCTGAAAACATTTGGATAGAAAGTATACGGCGGAAAACCTTGCAGTAGATGCGTTTCTGCACTCCGTAGCGCAGGACCAGCACGTCGAAGGACTGATCCAAAACGGCCATCACCATAGCCTCAGAATCCAGGGGGCCACAGTCCTATTGAACAAAGCCTTAAAATGACCGCGACACTTCAAAGCAATAACAAACAATTGTCTCCAAAATATAGCCTTAAAATTAGATACCACCGGACAATAATTAATGATGTGTCGAATCATTTGGAGCCAAAGAAGGGAATAAAAACACTTCATTTCAATACACACTCTCAGTTGGATTGCAGGAAACTCCAACCATAAGAAGAACCATTGCGCTGAAGTACCCCTCGAAAACCTGAGCCTCATTGTCTTTGTAAGCGCCCAATCTTCACAAAAGTCTACTTCAAGTCACCTGCATTGACAAAGACGTCCCGTTGCACCGACCTTGACGAAAACTCCAAAGAAGAGCTCAGAGCTCAACTCTTGTACTCTTTTGGATGCCGTCTTCTTCTCATTGCAGTGTGAAGCCTGTTTGTGGACTTCTTCTGTGGACACTGCTAACTTGGGACCACAGTCTGAATGAACACATACAAAGCAGAATTTGTCAAAATTTTTAAAAAACTGGCGGTCTTCATGAAACGTACATATGCATTGTGTTGAAAGCATATACTGAGTGAAGATGCCAGCAGTCTGTGCACGATGATGTCAGCGTAGCGCCTGATGGGTGAGGTAAAGTGAGTGTAAAGAGGAACATTCAAGGCGTAATGCTTAAAAAGCTTTTCCTCTTGGAGCACCCCCGAACAGAAGTATAACGCCATCTAGAGAACACAATAGTCCAGAGGGAAAAAAAAAAGATTATGCAATGATTATGATCATTATTTATTCATAAATACAGTACACACTTTGCAGGTACATAACACAGCAAGGAGCATGTTTTCCTGACAATACAGTATAGGAAAAACATATTTTATTTATTACCCCCATTTTACCAAACAGCAAACACGGAGTGAGACAATCGAGCTCACCTGCATAGGTCTGGAGCACATGTGGGTGAGAACTTCTTTCCGGGCAATGGAATATTCATCATTACCAAGAATGGAAAGTAGACTCTTCTACATAGTTGGAAAAACACAGAAGTGAAAAGATTTTGGGTGATCTGATTTGAACTTCAGCAGTTCATCGTGTTCGAACGATAACCATGAAACGGTTTTGTCTGAATTGCTTGTATGAAAACCAACGTTCAACGCGCCAGCGGAAGAAAGGTCGATGTCGATGCCCAGCTGGTCACACAGCTCTTGGAGCTCATCCACCATCTTAGCTTTGGGTGGAGGGTGGCGTCGGAGCAATGCTAGCTCAGGGAAGCATTTGTAAATACGGTGGGCTGTGGCAATGTTAGCCAGCAGCATGAACTCTTCAACCAACCTAAAAAAAAAAAAAAAAAAAAGGGGATAAAACATATACTGTCTTGAAGTATAACAATGCAACCAAAATTCAGCAATACAAAAATGACAGTTTGAGATTCAGAGATACAGTGCATTGTAGAATACTCACTTGTTACTATCTCTGTACTGGTAAATGTAGCAGCCTTGGGGCATCATGGTCTCTTTGTCCAACGTGAAAGAGAGTTTTAGCTGAAACAAGAACAAAAAAAAAAAAATGGGAGTGCTGAAGTTTATATGAGAGAAACAAGCAGTCCAAGCACAAAAGTTCATGTCAGTATCATCACCAACCGTGAGTCGTTCATATTAAAGAGAACAACATTCGGCGGGTGAACAAACCTGGTCCAGTCGGAGAGCTCCTCCGGAGAAACGCTGAGCTCTGAGGTTCTTGGCAATAGAATGCAGGTTGAGCACAGCTTGGTGGATCATGTCAATGCGGTGCTCGGGGTCCACCGGGGGCAGTTCTTCAGCAGCAAACGTCTTCTCGGGGGCCTCGATCATACTCTGAGCATGATCATAACTCAACTTGACGCACGAGCGGATCACGGAGCGGCCAAACCACTCGCTCAGGATCTGTCCGCAGGAAGAGGAATGAGAAATACAAAAGCGATTTCAAGACTGCGGGCAAACAGAATGCAGTTTGAATTTTCATTTGAGTAACTGACCATATGATTTACTGGACCTCATCAGCACAAAAAAATAAATAAAATAAATAAACCCGTGAACGTACCTTTCCTTCAGGTGTGATTTTCCAAATGACGGAGAAGGTAAGCCTGTCAGCCAGAGGATTCAAGCTACATAGCTCCTCACAAAGCAGTCTTGGCAACATCGGGATGACCTAGATGGCGACAAAAGATCACGGTGAAAAGCAACAGGTGCACCATAATACAAGTCAAAGACCTGTTCTCATTTTTTTCAGCCATCAAAGAAAGGATCGAAATCATCCAGATCATTTCAATGACTAAAACTTGAGGTGACTCACTTTTTGGACAAGATACACACTTGTGGCTCGCCGGCTAGCAGTTTTATCCAACGCTTTGCCCTCCTCCACAAAATAACTGACATCAGCAATGTGGACCCCCACCTCAAAGTTCCCTGTGTCAAACACAAATATACCTTGAGAGCAATCTACTGAACAAGTATGAGTTCAAAGTGGAACATACCATCTGGAAGTGGTTTACAGGACAAGGCATCGTCCAGATCTCTGGCGGTCGCTGGGTCAATTGTGAAGATGCACTCCTTCCTAAACACGAACGCACGATTCTTCTTAGTGCGTGAACGAAATGTTCCAAGTACACCTTTGGAGTGAGTGCCAGTCAATCGCAGGGCTCGCAATCATGCCTATTCACTTTGCATGATGTGGCAAAGCTCGCTCTACTTTTGGCTAAAATACGGCTCCTCAACTCACATCAACATAGTTCCTTGGCACTAAGACGGCATAAAATGTCAGAAAAATACTTGAACTGCTTCGGCCAGAGCACAAAAACAGATCTGCAAATGGGTAAATCCGCTCGCCGGGAATCAGAAATATACAACAGGACAGCGAAATATATTGCCTAGCGTGTTTGTCATGCAAATATTAACTACGATGATAACTTTGCGACTGCATGACCAGAGTGTAGCGACTACGTGCGTTCAGACAAATTCGGGTAACTGTCGTGAAGCGTAACCCGGCTCGAAAACCTGAGCCTCATTGTCTTTGTAAGCGCCCAATCTTCACAAAAGTCTACTTCAAGTCACCTGCATTGACAAAGACGTCCCGTTGCACCGACCTTGACGAAAACTCCAAAGAAGAGCTCAGAGCTCAACTCTTGTACTCTTTTGGATGCCGTCTTCTTCTCATTGCAGTGTGAAGCCTGTTTGTGGACTTCTTCTGTGGACACTGCTAACTTGGGACCACAGTCTGAATGAACACATACAAAGCAGAATTTGTCAAAATTTTTAAAAAACTGGCGGTCTTCATGAAACGTACATATGCATTGTGTTGAAAGCATATACTGAGTGAAGATGCCAGCAGTCTGTGCACGATGATGTCAGCGTAGCGCCTGATGGGTGAGGTAAAGTGAGTGTAAAGAGGAACATTCAAGGCGTAATGCTTAAAAAGCTTTTCCTCTTGGAGCACCCCCGAACAGAAGTATAACGCCATCTAGAGAACACAATAGTCCAGAGGAAAAAAAAAAGATTATGCAATGATTATGATCATTATTTATTCATAAATACAGTACACACTTTGCAGGTACATAACACAGCAAGGAGCATGTTTTCCTGACAATACAGCATAGGAAAAACATATTTTATTTATTACCCCCATTTTACCAAACAGCAAACACGGAGTGAGACAATCGAGCTCACCTGCATAGGTCTGGAGCACATGTGGGTGAGAACTTCTTTCCGGGCAATGGAATATTCATCATTACCAAGAATGGAAAGTAGACTCTTCTACATAGTTGGAAAAACACAGAAGTGAAAAGATTTTGGGTGATCTGATTTGAACTTCAGCAGTTCATCGTGTTCGAACGATAACCATGAAACGGTTTTGTCTGAATTGCTTGTATGAAAACCAACGTTCAACGCGCCAGCGGAAGAAAGGTCGATGTCGATGCCCAGCTGGTCACACAGCTCTTGGAGCTCATCCACCATCTTAGCTTTGGGTGGAGGGTGGCGTCGGAGCAATGCTAGCTCAGGGAAGCATTTGTAAATACGGTGGGCTGTGGCAATGTTAGCCAGCAGCATGAACTCTTCAACCAACCTAAAAAAAAAAAAAAAAAAAGAGGGGATAAAACATATACTGTCTTGAAGTATAACAATGCAACCAAAATTCAGCAATACAAAAATGACAGGCTGAGATTCAGAGATACAGTGCACCGTAGAATACTCACTTGTTACTATCTCTGTACTGGTAAATGTAGCAGCCTTGGGGCATCATGGTCTCTTTGTCCAACGTGAAAGAGAGTTTTAGCTGAAACAAGAACAAAAAAAAAAAATGGGAGTGCTGAAGTTTATATGAGAGAAACAAGCAGTCCGAGCACAAAAGTTCATGTCAGTATCATCACCAACCGTGAGTCGTTCATATTAAAGAGAACAACATTCGGCGGGTGAACAAACCTGGTCCAGTCGGAGAGCTCCTCCGGAGAAACGCTGAGCTCTGAGGTTCTTGGCAATAGAATGCAGGTTGAGCACAGCTTGGTGGATCATGTCAATGCGGTGCTCGGGGTCCACCGGGGGCAGTTCTTCAGCAGCAAACGTCTTCTCGGGGGCCTCGATCATACTCTGAGCATGATCATAACTCAACTTGACGCACGAGCGGATCACGGAGCGGCCAAACCACTCGCTCAGGATCTGTCCGCAGGAAGAGGAATGAGAAATACAAAAGCGATTTCAAGACTGCGGGCAAACAGAATGCAGTTTGAATTTTCATTTGAGTAACTGACCATATGATTTACTGGACCTCATCAGCACAAAAAAATAAATAAAATAAATAAACCCGTGAACGTACCTTTCCTTCAGGTGTGATTTTCCAAATGACGGAGAAGGTAAGCCTGTCAGCCAGAGGATTCAAGCTACATAGCTCCTCACAAAGCAGTCTTGGCAACATCGGGATGACCTAGATGGCGACAAAAGATCACGGTGAAAAGCAACAGGTGCACCATAATACAAGTCAAAGACCTGTTCTCATTTTTTTCAGCCATCAAAGAAAGGATCGAAATCATCCAGATCATTTCAATGACTAAAACTTGAGGTGACTCACTTTTTGGACAAGATACACACTTGTGGCTCGCCGGCTAGCAGTTTTATCCAACGCTTTGCCCTCCTCCACAAAATAACTGACATCAGCAATGTGGACCCCCACCTCAAAGTTCCCTGTGTCAAACACAAATATACCTTGAGAGCAATCTACTGAACAAGTATGAGTTCAAAGTGGAACATACCATCTGGAAGTGGTTTACAGGACAAGGCATCGTCCAGATCTCTGGCGGTCGCTGGGTCAATTGTGAAGATGCACTCCTTCCTAAACACGAACGCACGATTCTTCTTAGTGCGTGAACGAAATGTTCCAAGTACACCTTTGGAGTGAGTGCCAGTCAATCGCAGGGCTCGCAATCATGCCTATTCACTTTGCATGATGTGGCAAAGCTCGCTCTACTTTTGGCTAAAATACGGCTCCTCAACTCACATCAACATAGTTCCTTGGCACTAAGACGGCATAAAATGTCAGAAAAATACTTGAACTGCTTCGGCCAGAGCACAAAAACAGATCTGCAAATGGGTAAATCCGCTCGCCGGGAATCAGAAATATACAACAGGACAGCGAAATATATTGCCTAGCGTGTTTGTCATGCAAATATTAACTACGATGATAACTTTGCGACTGCATGACCAGAGTGTAGCGACTACGTGCGTTCAGACAAATTCGGGTAACTGTCGTGAAGCGTAACCCGGATTATCCAGGGATAAGCAAGTCCCACCTTAAGTCTTTTCTCTTGGCCATCTCCTCAGGCGGGATGTTCCAAGGCACATTCTTGGGCAAGCATTCGAGCACGTTATCTGAGAAGTCTGAAAAATCTACATCATACTCGGTCAGAATGCCCTCCGTTTCTGGCTCAATTTCCCCAGCCTGGCCCAACGTCTTCGCCAGTCGACTGACGGGACACAGAGCAAAGGGAGAGTCAGGAACACGAGAATCCAAGTGCAGTTCGCACACCCCGATATTCACCCTTCGGCGAAGTTGCTGTCAGCAGGACAGTTGGTGATGCGGCAGATGAAAAGTGTGTTGGCGTAATCATCATGGCGGGAAATAAAATCGTCTGGACAATCAGACAGCGGGACATTAATCCTGGGCACGCGGTGGTCCACAGGGGAGAACATGGCAAAAGGTTTGTCCGGTAGAAATTTCAGGGAGCCTGTCACAGCCCTCGAGTGCTTCTTCTCAACAATGTACACCACCTGGTACATTCGTGATGAGAAAGGTGTCGGAAGGAATTGAGAGTTGATATCGGCTTCCGCAAAATCACAATGTAGGAAAAAAACTCACTTTAGCGGTCATTTGAAGTGCGCCACTATTGGACTGTGATGTTGAGGTGTTTTCCAGATGGTCTGCAAAGAAAAAGAAACAGCTGCTTTAATTCATTCAAGTGTTGGATTCAAACTAAATCTCAGTAATCCTTTGCATCGTCACAGTTGGTCACGCCCTTTCGCTTTTTTTTTTTTAAATGCTCTTCCCGAAATGCCCTAAGATGCTGCCAAAGCCATGGCTACATCGGAAATAAAATGCAGTACCGGTAATGGGTGTGAAAGAGGCACGCTGAAGTGATACATCTCGACTGAGAGACAAGTTTAGCTTGTGTGGGGTTTAGAGAATTTCTGCCGCACATGCATTGTTCGCTTTCGCTATATTATTTAAAAATCAAGTGAATACTAGAGAAGGATGAAGATGAGTTGAAATTATTGTAACCTGTTTTGTGATCACAATTTGTTCTATATTTTTTGTGTAAAATATGAATGCAGGCAATTAGAGCCATTTCTCTGGATAAACTAAGCTCTCTTCATTCCCTTCATTATATTCTGCAGGTGTGCCTAATCATGGGGCCAATGAGTGTTTGTGAGGGAGGGTCGCGTTCTGACCTTTGCTTGCAAACTGACGCTGATCTTCCACAGACGTATGCGGTGCTTGCGCAATGTTCTTTTGGATCAGGTTTCCCTTCTGGGCTTCTGCCTCGCTGACTCCCTCGCAGTCAGTGTCCGATCTCACAACCTGCAAGGAAAAACATTTAGATCGGTTGAATTCATGACAATAATGCCACTTCAGCCTTTGAAAATGACCGTGGTGGTTTATACTGTAGTGTGGGGATTGAAATTATGACGTGGACCAATAAGGGAGTATAGAATACCTTCCATTGTTCCCGTGGTAAGAGCTGCACCACGACTATGTCACCATTTAATGCCCTGTTACGAGCAATTATGCCATCCAAAAATATATCTCGTGTGTCATCCTGTAAATAAAAAGAAGTACAGTAACATAAAAGTTTATTTGTACATTTCAACTAGAGGTGAAGTACTGGTAATAAGGTTAGGACAATAACCCCCTCCACCATCCAAAAAATGTCATCAAGTTATTTTTAAATACTGCCAAGATTCACTTACAGGAGAAGGGATGAAAGCATCGTGGTACTTCTTGGGGTTTATTCGCAACTGTCCCTGAAGAAAAAAAATATTTACATTTTACAATAATCGCGCAGTAAATGCTTCATGCTTCACAAAATGACTCCTTTTGGAGCACTAGCAGAACAGTGGAGCAAATTAGACAAATACAGAACACGGGGTCAAATGCTTTTGTGCAAATTCACAAGAACACCTTGAGAAATGTGTTCTCAATTAACACCGATGTATTTTTTCACATCACATATTCATGTATAAGACAATTTTAGTTTAATCGCTGCTCACAAATGTTGCCACAATCTTTGGGGACCACCCTCGTAACAACAAGTGTACCTGAATAAGTTCTCCTCTTTTAAGGCCACGAGAAACATCTTCAGAGGTCATATAGGGCTCAAACACTTGTTTCCTTGAGCCTCTACCCCCGTTGTTCTTATTCTTGTCTGTAGATAGAATAATTCAAATCTCAATACAAATCAATGAGTTATAATCTTCCAAATGCATTCATCGCCATGATCAGATTTCATTTCTAACATACCTGTGGGTTTTTGTAGTTTCTTTAAATCATGAGGTGACTTGAAATTGTGACTGTCACCTGAACATTTAGCTATTAGAGCTATTGGCTTCCCCGCTTCCAGCTGCTTGGGCAGATTATTGTTCTTTGTCTTTTTCGTGTCCTCCTGTTCCAGTTGGTTTAAATTGGCTTTATCTTGGGTATTTTCAACAAATTGACTAATGTCTTTCGAGACGGTTTCCTTGCTTGTGTCCTTATTTTTCTTCCGCTGACGCTGGTGCTTCCTGGAGTCATTTGGGCCGAAAGAACTTAGCTCCTCTCCCGACTCAATGTCCCCATCTTGGCTCGTGGCAGTATCCCTTCTCTGTGCCTTCCTGTTCTTTTCAGACACACCTGGCTTCCTCTCACTGTCTTGCTGTGCATTTTGAATGCTTAATTTTACCATGTACAATGACAAGGAGCTCTCGTCTCCTTTGTCTTTTAAGGAAGAAGGGGAAAAGTCACTGGAATCGGAGAGATGATTTGGCACGAGGTCCCTTTTTCCTTGAGGTATGCTCATCTTGTCACTCTGGGCTTGAAGTAGGGTGTGCGGTCCATTATCTTCCCGAAGGAGGGACGACTCTTTGGCATATTGCTCCAGAAACTTCGTGAAGGTGCTGCTGCGGTGCTGGCTCAGAAGTCGAGCATAGGCATCTTTGCGACCGGGAGCTTTAAACTCACTTTGACCGCCTTTCGCCTCACGTCTTGGGTTGGTCCTCTTTGGAGGCCGAGAAGAATCCATTGTGCGTTAAAAAGACCCTCTGAGGATAAATGGGAAAGCGATGCGACAAACAAACGATGAGTCACTACACAGCAGTTCTTCTCGCGTCGCATTTGTTGAGTTAGCGTCACATTAAAAAACTGCACTAAACTGAGGTTGTAAGGGAAACTAAGCGCAATTATCCTCTTTCACACAAGCATGGGGTTTACCGTGTCAGTAAACTGACGGTGGATTCTAATCATAGTAAACATTCTCTGCTAACTGTAGCCGCTAACATTGGGTGCTAGCGTTGTTTTGGGACGGCGAGCACCGGTTTTAACGCACATGAAGATTTATCGGCGCTACACAGACTTAATCATGAACTTTATTAAGAGCTGAGCAAAATATGTGACTAATAACTTAATGCCGATCTTAAATCGATTACGTACCAGTTAGGGACGCAAACTCTTAGCTTGGCTCAGTCAGTCACTTCCGGTGATGTAAGGAAAAAAACAAAACAAAACACTTAAACACACATTTCTGCTGTTGGGAAATATTGAACGATGTTTCCCCATTTCCACAAAAAGTCCCAACGTGAATCAAAGTGTAATATATTTAATTGTGTGTGTATACACGTTCAATGTTATTCATACTTTATTTTAAAATGTCAAAGAACAACTGGATGAGATTACAAAAGAACGCGCTTGATTTTTTTTAGCATGAAAAGCACTCCAGAGGGCAGCAAAGATTAAATTACGTACAGTATATGTACTTGGTGAGCGATGAGCAAATTGGTGATGGGAAATGAAATACATCGTATATTTTGAGTTTGCATTTTGCCTCGCTGATTGTCTTTCAATCTCATAGTCAAACAACATATTCTTAAGCAAGACCAGGACTAAATTTGCGATGAACTGTCTATTGCTGCCAAATGTTCCTTCATAATTGGTTGTTTGCATGTTTTGTCACATAAAACATCACGATTTGAATCTAATCCATCCATTCATTTGCTGGAGCCCGTACCGTCTGTCTTTGGGCAGAAGGCAAACTACACCCTGGACTGGTTGTCAGTCAATGATTGTGACAGACAGAGACACACACGCTGGGAATTGAACCCAGTCTATCTGCACATAAAGCAGGCGATTCACCATCAGCGACTGCATTTACATATATTGTGTGTGAGGAATTTTGCTGAAAGCAATGGCGATGAATCTGCTCTTACTGTTACGCATTTGTTATTAACAATACAGAAAACCTTTAGATGGAGTGATGTTGGACTAAATTCAGAAACTCTATACACAGTATACATAATTCCCAACATAATCCTCTGAAAATGTGGCTGATTCATAAAAGATAGGATGTCATGCTTGTGAGTCATGACCGGTAACGTTCCATCGACAAACATGGCCTCAAAACGCAAGCCGAAACAAAGTGGTACATTTTTCATTCAATGCCATATTAACAATCATGAAGCAAAGCCATTTTTAATGCAGCATGCTTGTAAAAGCTTTCTGGTTGCCAAACTCGTTTTTTTCCTCCATAAAACCCAAAGAAACCTCAAAGTGAGCAGAGCATGTGTAGAAAAGAGAGCTAGTGCAGTCTCTACCATGGTTGTGGTTGCACAAACCCAAGTTGTAAAGCATGCAGATGAAGAAGCAAATGACGATGAAATATTCATTGGGTTAGGAGAGCGAGTGCAGCTGGTAAAAGGGGATGAAATAGATGGGTCAGGAGCACTCATATCACACAGAGTGTCATTTTTCTCTCCCTTATGCATCATCTTGATACACAACCGGCTCTCTGCTTCCGCTTGCATGTACTCACCATCTTTACCTTCGTCTAATGTCATCATAAACGTGAGATAGTGTAATTGCCAGTGCTGTTGGGCCAAACAGGATGCCGTTTTCATTATTGGTTGGAGTGGGCATCATGTCAGGAGGGTTCTGCAATGCACTTCTACTGCCATGGCAACGGCCTCTGAGTCACCCCAGACATTACATCGCCTATCTTCAGTCGTGACCAAGTGCCAGAGAAGACCAGACATGTTTACACAACACTGCAAAGCAATGCTCCCATGGTGTGCTTGTCAAGAGAACTCAGCAAAGAAAAATCACACAAGCACTTGACAGAAATAGAATATGAAAATATTTGATTGATCCATATATGCGATATGGCACATCTTGTTTCACACTTCTGAGCCTCATCGATCTCTGTTCTAAGCATCATTTTTAATGTTCTCCCCATGTTTGCATGGGTTTTCTCCGGGCACTTTCCCTTCACTCCAAATTGATGTGTCGTAAGTCTCTAAATTGTCCATAGGTGCTATTGTGAGTGTGAATTATTTGTTTCTATTTTATTTTATGTGCCTTACCATTTGGTTCACAACCAGTTCAGGCTGTCCTTGCATACTCTCACCCCAAGTCAGTTCCATGGGATACGCTCCTCCGCACTCGTGACTCTATGGACGAGCAGTATATCATATGGACGGATGGAATACATCTATTTTAAGTGATCCCTGAAAGCTGGCTCGGGAATAAGAAAGGAACGATGCTGATCATTTTATTGTATTTTTATTCATTGGTTGATTTTACTGTTTTAATACCAAAGCCCTTGTTAGTATGCTTTGAGCAGTGTTATATAAATACAATTATTATAATTATTGTGAAAGGTACAATGATGAATTGTGAGTGTGCTCCCTCAACACCTTAGACGAGGATATGATCGAGACGGACCGCACCATAGATAGAACAAGTAAACATCTAATTTGTGAGACGGACGCAGCATGAATTTCAGCATAACATCAGCTGTTATGATGCCAGTTTGAGTAAATCGTTCAGTATCCCACCCTCAGTTTTCTTCCCACGGGCGCTACTTTCAGAACCGGACAGCTCCAATCCGTTCCCACGCCCCGCCCACCTCCGGCAGACTGGCAGGGAGAAAAGACCACACGCAGTCGTGGGTTGAGGCGATACCTCAGGTCTGTTGGGATTTTTTTTTTCTTGTAGAGAGGAACTTCATGAACAATTTGCTCCTCGCCTCTTTTTATCAATCACACGGAGTGGCCGCTTCCACCTCGAAGAGGAGTCACGTTGATTTGTACAGAGTTACGAGACTTGTCTTGGATGCGAGGCTTGGGGGGAGCTTTGAGGGGATCCTGCGTGCAATGAAAAGTAGGGAATTACTGTCGGCTGTGCCTTCATTGTGCAGGACACATCCTTTTGTCAGTGCTCGTTAAATTGGCGAGGCTACTGGTTATGCTCGCAGCACTTTCCCAAGCGCTTTCTTCTCGGTGTCCCTGAAGAAGAAGACGAAAAAGAAGAATGGCTCTCCTGGTCGTGCTTCTGCAAACGGGGCTCGTTTTGGGCTCCAACTACGGCTACGTGGAGTGGTCGGAAAACGACCGTGACGAGAACCCTTCGGTGTTCAGCACGCAAGGAATCAACAGGGAGCCGCCCCGCCGCCATCCGACCTATTCTCACTCGCCGCCGGCTACGGAGCGCACGGTGGTGGCGCACAAAATCGAGGAGGACCTGCCGAGGGTGGTGACCGCTTTCCTCCACAGCGGCGACTCCTCCGCGCTGAGACAGGTCAACTGCTCACGGAGGTACGAGCTGAGCAGCCTGCGAGGCGGCCTGCATGTCGCCACCCACTACTCGCTGCACGGCATCCTGGATACCATGACGCACGCCACCAACTTTTTGAACATGATCCTGCAGGCCAACAGGTCCCGAGAGGACACCTTACAGCGGGACCTTCACTGGTATCAGGCGTTGGTTCGGAGCATGCTCGAGGGGGATCCCAAAATCCACAGAGCCGTGGTAAGCTTCCACGGGGACGTCTTTCTGCAGGCGACCCGAAACCAGAAGGAGGTGGTGCTGCAGGACCGGATGCTGAAGAGCAGGAACTCCGAGTCCGAGTGGTTGAACGAGTTTAGGGACGGAAGGAGAGCATATACGCTTAGAAAGGGATCGGAACCCAAGAGTGGAGTTTACCTTCTGGACAAGAATCAGATCAAGTGGTCTGCGCCTTACCTGGAATGTGAACACGGGGCTTTTGTGCCCTATTGGCTTCTCACCTTGTCAGCTGGCTTCTATGGACTCAAGAGAGACTCTGCACTAGAGTTCAGGTGAGAGAAATGTGTTGTGCGATCATGCGACATCGAGCTTGGTAGAGACAACCAACTTCAAAATGTTGAAGTGTGGCGGGAAAAATGGGGCAGAGGAGAAACTGAAGGAACAGTTTATTTTTGTCTTGTCTGTTTACAAACGACAGCACAAACTTCCCAACATTAATTAATTAAAAAAAAAAAAGGACACTTCATGGAAACAAAAAAGAGCTTCTTTTCACCACAAAATGTTTTATCACTATGATAAATAAAGATATGCAGATATATATCCATCCATTATCTGAACTGCTTTATCCTCACAAAGGTCGCAGGTGTGCTGGGGCCCATCCCAGATGAATTTGGGCTGGAGGCAGGGTACCACCGTGAACTGGTTGTCAGTCAATCGCTGGGCACACAGAGATAAACACCAACCATTCAGACTCCCCGTCACACCTACGGACAATTGAGAGTGATTAATTAACCTAACTTGGTACACCCTCTGTCACTGAGAAGTCATTGTTTGATCTACCATCCACAGGCAGGGCTTCATGAATTCAAATGCACCCATATCTTGAACCATTGCTCAACAGACTCATAATACAAACACTATCAACTCAAACTAAAACGCAAGCTTAATTGACTATATAGTGCCATTTTATTTTCCATTGTGCTACTTACAGTATACTGTACTTCTATCTCATGCATCAACTTTACATTTGGCACAAGCTAGCAAGCAGGTTTCAGGAATGGTGGAGGAAGCCGGAGTAGATAAACTAGCAAACTCCACACTGAAAGGTCCGAGCAGAGATCCATTCCACGCTGTGCCGCTTGGTAAATCACGATTCCAAAAAGTCACTTAAGGCAAAAGTGATTGACTGTCGTACAGTAACGGTATGGGCTTAGAGTTTACAATTTTGTAGTATCATATGGGTGCCTTAAAAATGATCGCAATAGACCACTTTGAAAATTACATGATCATAATAATGAGCTGAGTGCAAATACTGAAGTTGCACTGATGTACGAAAACAGATGGCAAAGAAGAAGAGATAATCCCTTTCTCCATTGAAATGCTCTCCTGTCAAGGCGCAGCTGGGCATGTCTTCGTCATGCTTACTTTCAGAGGAGCACTGCAGGCTTTATTGCATCCCTCCAGAGTGCCGTTTGAATGAGTGGCTTGCAAGTATGCACGTTTCAACGCTCAGGGTTCGCATATGGCAGAGCGAGGTGTAGCAATCGATAATACTATGCGTGAATAATAATGGATATATAAAGAGTGGCATGTGGACACAGATAATTTGTCATCAATCAAGTGATGATGCAAGATCTGTCAAGGAGGTCTGAGTCCATTTTTTTGTTACTCCACTGCTGTGGAGCACGGATATTTTACTGAAAAATGTCACATATATTGGCAAAACGATGGGCAATTAAAATAATCTATGAGGCTATCTGAGCGAGGTTTATGTATCACGTAGCATGAAATGTTCTTTTTGTTTTCCAGAGACTTTTCTTGGATTTATCCATGGTTTACCAATTGAATTAGTCTTGGCACTCGGTGTCGCACATTGGGGGCTGTGACGCATATTTTGTGTGACAAACAGAGAGTTCAAGGAATAAATAGGTAAGGCAAATGTAAAAATATAGTTACAGTTGACACAGGTGAAATGAAAGACTCATTCTTTTCACAAATCACAGAGAGCCACCGCAGAATTAAGAAACTGCGGGTTTTCCGACCCCGGAGTTAACCAATTAAAATGGTGCTCCGAATTGAAAATCTGGTGTGGAGAATATATTGCAACTCAAGTATTGGCTCAAGTCAGGTTGCGAGGAGAAATGTGATTTCCTCATCATGGACGTGTGTGTGCTTGAAATGTTTCGCTGCTTCTTCCAGTCATCTCAGTGCTGCGATGATGTTTCTATAAATAGACCGTCTGGACAGAAAAGCTTAAGCCTTTCTTCCTGTGAACTCTCCCTATTTTTTTGTTTTTGTTACTGTCTGCACAGGCCATTTCTAATTGAAAAATTCACAAAACATGACAACCTGACAGTGAGAGATGCCGAAGCATCTGTCACATCTCCCTGCTTTCTGTCTCGGTCAAGCTTTGACCATCTCACGCATACGCTGACTGGTTCCCTCCTCTCATTCTGTCTGGTTGTGTACCATGGAGGAGAGGTGGTGGTGAAATCCTCTCTCCATGGTCGTTTGTTCCACTTCCCTGCAGGCAGATGGAGGCAGCGGGTGTCAGGCTCATCTACAGAAGCACAAAAGAGAAAAGGAGAATGGCACATTTCAAACCGTGACGAGAGGGAGTTCGTTTGAACGCGAAGACACGTTGGGGCTCCAGTGCAATGGTTAAGACTGAGCTTTAGCTTCAGGACAGTGTTGACTGGTGTATTTATTTTGCTAGCCAACTATTCTGACAGCTATTTTCGATATGATTCACAAGAAATGCTTTTAAAAATCTTGGTTGTAGTACTTTTTCAAATACTGCAGTAAGACCGAATTGTAATGTGAGCAACAGATACCTGCGTGTGTTTAAGCTAAGTGTCGCCATTTTATGTTAGCGCCGTTGTCTATTCAACAGAATTTCAAGGACATCGCAGATAACGTGTCTAGTATACTGTACGGTATGAAAGATTTGTGTTCTCTCTCTACTGTCCTTTTATGGCTTTTTGAGCACAACATTACATATTGTCGAAAAATCGCGTCGTACGATCTAATGCAAGAGCTGGATCCCGCCACCAAAATCTTTCCTTGCGGAAATCATAATACTTGGAGATGTCACCATTATTCTCGGATCCTTTATCTCTTCCTAACTTTTGGTCTGTTTTTCCTCCGTGCCAGGGGTGTTGTTCGTTTGGACGTGAATTTGCAGGATGTGGATATTGACCAGTGCTCCGACAGTGGCTGGTTTGCCGGGACACATCGCTGCAATCTTACCAGTATGGAAGTAAGTGCTAGCTTGAACGACCTTTTCCCTAATTCATCCACTTTGACCCCGATGGAGAAAAGTGTGTTTCCAAAAGTTCTCCGGGTGGGGCAGTGCTTACATCTGCTCCCTATCCTAACCAATGACACGCATTCCCAATTATGACGCCAATGCTCCTGGACAACAGCAACTATCTTATTTTGAACATTTTATCTGAATTCAAATGCCATCGGTGGTGGGGCAACACCGTCATACATCATGTTTGTCACTTTTCGGTGTGCTGAAGGGACAGCGATGACCCATGTTCTATCTGCATGTGTCAGTGTGTGATGGCTCTTGCGCGTTGGCTTCCACCTTCACGTGGGTGCCGATGAGTTTCATGTGATGTATTGTGGGAAACCTCCTTGACCCCAGCGGGGGGGGGTAGCTGTTCATGTGTGCATGGCATGTCGCTGGCCATATGATGCATAATAGATGCAGTGTAATGGATTGCATCAAGATGGTTTGAATAATTGACTCTGCTCTTTGTCTGTGTGCCTGCCCCCACCCCCACCAAAATTTAGTCCCCCCCCCCAAGTATGCCTGATTTACAATAGCACGGTTCTCATGTTTGCGCGCTGAGTGGCAAATTGTGTGACAATTATTTCTCCAGCCAGAGATTTCACACTCACTATTTTGTATTAGCTCAGGCGGCCTTCTGTCATCAGGGTACTTGTGAGTGTTTTGATCAGTTTAAGAGCGAAGGAACTTCTTTCGCAGGAGGCACGATTAACTTCAGGAGCAAACAATTTTCAGCTCTTTTTTTGTGTCACATAAACAATGTACACTTGACAGTTAACTTGGATCATCGTTGGCACATTTTATGAGCTTCGCTCCCTAATATTTGTAAGATTTTTGTCAACAAGATGCAAAGCTAAACAGCGCCAGCCCACCTCAGTCGACGTCAGGGTAGCCTCCCCCTTCTCTTTGAAGGGTGTGAGGGACAGTTCCTGACAGTTAGTTAGTGATGGGTAGATGGAGCCGCATAAAATGTTGCGGCACACTGGGCGAACTGAAGTGATACCGCATTAGCACCGCGTCGCTCTGTTGCTCATTAGGACACCTGCTGGATCTTTCATCATTGCATTGCAGGCTACGCCGAAAAAAGCTTTTGTTGAATTTCCTCAATGTTTCGTCAAGTGGTGGCATGAAAGAGAATCCAGATAAATGTTTTTAAAGAGACTATACATCCACACATGCTGTATCATAGCAGGCGGCATGAGTGTCTTTAGAAGAATTCATGACAATATTCCACATTTTACTACCTCTTACTCTTCTCTAATGATAATTCTCCTGACACACACGACATTTCGCAGTGAGGCGGTGATTCAGTGGCAACTTAGTCATCACTGTTCATCTTTTTTGAGGAGGCGCGTGGGAGGGGCGAGCCGAGACTTTGACACAGAGCTCTCAATTCAAATACTCTCCACAACTGAAGATGTTTTGTCAGAGAAAACTTGTATTGACAAACTCATCAATTTTACCAAACAGGCAGCTATTTTTTTTTCAGCCGGGGCTTAACCAAGATGTATTGCAAGTGTCTACCGCATCTGGAGTCTCATATCTCAGGGCAGCCCAAAAGAGGTTCGAGTCTGATAGCGGATCGGATAATCTTTTCATCGTTAATGCACCCATTAGCTTTGATCTACAGACAACAGGGTGCGAACCGTACCGTGTTCTAATATCTGTCAGTTTCGTACGAAGAGGAACAAACTTCAACAAGGAAGGCAATTGGAATGTCTTTTCTAATACATGAAAGGAATTCACCAAACTGTTTGTCATGTTCAGAACGCAAAGTGGAAAGTGGAAGTACAAGTGGAAGGTTATATTGAGAACAAATGAGACATCAGCCTCCCCGTTGCAAAGACGTGATTCTTTTTTTTTTCTTTCACCAGCTATAAATGCAAAGACACTCTGTGAAATGGCCACCCAAGGCGAACTACTAAAAATAATTCATCCTCATCATCATAAAGCCCCTATAGCCGTTCAGTTTCAGACTTCGGCTCCCGCTCGCAAAAGCTGTTTCGAAAGGATTAGCTTGTGGGTTCTGCTCTCTTGTCTTTTCACTTTGTGTGCTCGTGCTTTTCATCGCTGTTCCCATCGCTTGTTCCTCCTTGATGCGGTGAAATGATCTTTCGAGTTCAAGAGCCTGCGGGCCGCAGCTGAAGTGGATGGTGTTTAAAGTCTGGAAAGAAAGTGATGACACTTTTCACACGCCGCAAACTTTGGTTCGTTGAAATAGCTTCTGAGCCAAGCGAAAAAAAAAAAGCCATCTTTCTCACAAAATACATTGTTTGCAGCAATGGCCTGCGGGAAGTCAATTCAATGCTCATTTCCTCCCCCCAAAAACCCTGAAGTTCGGTCTCCCAGGCCCAAGTCATAACAATGAAGTCTTTCTTAATGCGACGGAGCGTCGTGTGCTCTGCAGAGTGTGCGCTTCTCACTTAAGGTCAATTTGTGACGTGCCGTTTCAGTGCGGCTCAACGGCATCAGCGCCTCTCGGATGTGTTCGGCGCCAGCAGCGGAGGCATCGTGATTCCGCCTCATCCTTCAAACTTTATGTCTCACTGAAGTGAGAGCGGTGGGAATTGTTCTGCTTGCCAATGTTAGGGCAACATAACAAGCCATAAAGGCACCATGATGCCCTATAAAACCCTTTGATCCAACGAGCTTCCGGGGTTAATTGGAAACGGGTCAATGTCACGATTGCATGTCAAAGGAGCATTCTCAAAAGGCTCCGTTATTCAGCACTTTCTTCCTTTTTTTCCCTTTCTTTTTTACACACAAGCTTTAAAAGTTACTTCTCTACACTACTTCATCCCAAGCACTCATTTGCGTCAAGCTCATGTGCAGCCGCTCAATGACCTTTTTCACTGGCCGGGTCCATCACCTTCAACTTGAAAGCTGCGTCGGAGGCATTTCCTTGCATTTTTTTCAGCATGATGAAGTATGATCCAAATACTTCAAAAGTGTGCAGGAAAGTGCGCACGTAAGCTGTATCACTGTTTGAGCCGCAGGGGTTGAAGCTGGGGAAAAAAAAAGAAAAAAAAAGCCTGATCACTTTTTCGCGATCTCGTTCTTTTGGTCACGTGACCATGGATGACATTTTGCACGGACTAAATACATTTGTCTGTAATTTCAGACATGATCATGATTTGTTCACTATTCCATATTTTTTGTTTGGCGGTGCGCCATGAAAAAATTCTCGTGTCAAATGGGTGCCTTGGCTTTTTTTTTTTCTGTTAGGCTTTTTCACGTCTTGGTTCTGTTTTCTCTTATACGTTCCCGCAAAGACTGAGTAGGAAGTGGGATCCGTCACCGTGATCTAAGCACACACTCATGCATTTATGGATGAGCAGACATAGGGGTGGTCTTTTACATGATTCCTAGCGTAATTATACAAGCGCTTCGACGTGATTCGTTCGGGTAATTGGGACGGGACGCATGTGAGGATGTGAATCTGGCTTTTCCATCGTGTGTCAGCGTAGTCAGCTTCAAAAGGGGCTGAGTATGTTTGCATATGCACACGTGTGTTTGAGGAAATGTGTCGTTGGAGATAACGGGCTGCGCCAGAAGAGCTCTGATAATGAGTGTAAACTGCCATGACAGCCAAAGAGGGTTACCCATTCTAAAGCCCCCGCTGGCTCCTTTTCCAGCTCTCTGCCTCACTTTCTGTTTCCGTGACTATTTATGCACCAATTTTCCCTCGCTTGTTTCGTCGCTTGTTATCACACTCTCATTGAAATGTGGTCTTCTTGAATGCGCCGACTCTATTTTCTTGAAGCCAATTAACTCCTCGGAAAAAAACACGAGGAGCCCGGCGGTACTGATAGCTCCATTGGTCAGTGCGTTACTTCCTTTTTAATGACTTTTTTTTTTTTGGATCATTGAGTACACCATTTCAATTTTGACATCAGTGCTCATTCAATTGTTTTTCATCAACCGTTTCCTTGACACCCTCTTTCATTCTCAGCACACCTCCTTCCAACAAAGACCTGCAATGCCGTTGCAGAGAGCAACGCAATTAATTCTGGCGACAGCTCAGCAAGTACAGTATTTTTAGTGGCATGAGTTCATCTGAAAAATTAATCACCTGTACATATGTGGCTCGTTCTCCGCGCCGCTGCGAGAACCTGGACCCTCTCGGCGGATCGTGGTTAGAAATGGAGGAGTGGTGAAGGTGGTCGTCCTCTAAACACAACAATAAGACAAGACGAAAATAAGACGAGAGAATTGTTGTTGAAGTTGAAATATTCAGACTTGAAATAGTCAGTCGATATCTCAATAGCAGCGAGATGGCTCAAAAACCCCTGTGGGGGCAAACGACACAGAGAGGGAAAAACGACATCAGATGAAGACCGTGATATGTCTTCATGATATTTACCATGTGAAAAAATGGCTTTAGTGTAGACTCACCGGCTGCCTGCGTTGGAAGTGCGTGCATCTTTTTCATCATCAAGAAGATAATTTATGAGTACTTTAAACGGCATTTTTTTTCTTCAAGAGTTCGATTCAAGGTTAATAAGATCTCAGTACAGAGCTGTGAACCTGTTGGAACTTACTCTGTAGCTGTATGGAATTGATTGCTGTATTGAATATACAGATTTACTTGTAAAATCGCACTGCTTGAAAAATGCGTCACCCAAACTCCAATTTTGTATTGTAAGATCCGATACTCTTGTTCGTACGATCAGTCGAAATATTTGATTGCTTCAAAATGAATTGGATGGAAAGTAACATATTAACACATTTCACTAGTTTTTAAATTTTTTGTTTAGCTCAGATTTTATAGTCGTAATGAATGATGTGCTGTTTCGACAAAGACGATAATCTGTTGCTGCTACACCAGTTTTATATCTGAGCATAAACGTTACCAGATAAATTAACTTTTGGTTGAATTTAAGAAGACTCAGTCATCTACACTTTATTTTGTGATCGGTTTTCGAGCTGTAATAAATGATAATGTGTTTTTTAGAAGGTGTTGTTTGCTCTTGGTGCGTTTGTGGTGAGAAACGAAGAATATCACTCAGGCGATAGGAACTGCCACAAACATCAGAGAAGCATCGGACTGAATCGCTGTAGTTTTCAACTGCATGAGGTTTCCATGGTGACGGCAACTGCTTCTCATTTCATGAGCGAGACAAGGGTCCCGCTGAGAAACTTCCATCATCCCATTGTCGTTCGCTCCAAAAGGCTTGACATTGAGTCGACCCCCCATCCCCCAATGTATGTACATCGCCCAGTGACCTCATTTTTCCTCAAGCACTTTTTTGGGTTCAAGTCAGACCTGTTTCACCACTAAACCATTCAAATTCGGAGAGTCCTTTCAAATATTGATTGTGTAGTGGAATTGTTCGAGCGACATGGCTGACGGCCATTTTTATGTTGCATCAAAAAGACGCTTTGTCCTCCAGCCTGGCCCCCCCCCAAAATATCTAAGGAGTGAATTCCAACACCTCCCACTGAGCGCGCCGCACCAACTGTGCTTGTGCTGAAAGCGCCATTAGTTAAAAACACTTGAAATATTCGAGAAAGACATAATTGTGGGCATCGTCTGCATTGCTTAGCAAATGCAACAGACCACCATGTAAGGTTTATGCTTGAGCAACATTTTAGTTTTAAATCTCAAAGTGGATGACCACTGGGCTAATTCTTTTTTGTGTGTGTGTGTGTGTGTGTGTGTGTGTGTGTGTGTGTGTGTGTGTGTGTGTGTGTGTGTGTGTGTGTGTGTGTGTAAGTGTACAATTCAGAACTAATTAGTTCTTTCCTACGATGCTGCACTCCATTTACTCCAGTGACAAACAACAAAATTCCAACCGCGAAAGTACTGCACCGCCGATCAAAGAATTACTGCCAAGCTCGCAGGATGTACAAAGTCCATATCCATTCCTTAATCTTTAATTATGCCGATGACTCATGCGTTGCCGCATGAAGTATGCAAGGGCGACGATGTACAGAAGACGAGACGAGGAGAGAGAAGACGTAACAGCGGAGAGGGACAATCGTCAAGGAGGATTCATTTTCCATCGGGAGCCACCAATCACTCCCTAATCTGTTCTCCCGCAGCCCATAAACGCTGCGGCAAAATGCGGAAACTGCTCGAGACGGCAGCACATTCGGATCATAGTTGAGCGAGCGCCGCTCGAGTCCAAGTGGAGGACCCGGAGGCCACCAGCCCAATTCTCAAGAACCCTTTCATAACATACATAAAGGATAAAGAATTACAGTACGCTTAATAGCTTGTTGAAATCATTCATTTTGGGGTGGGTGATTCTGTCTTACGTGGCAGAGCAAAGGCATGCAACCCCGCCAGGGCTATGATGTTGTCAATTTACAACTTGCTATGTTTTCTTAAACTTTACGGACACCTCCAGCAACAAATTTTAAAAAAGACCAAATCTAGTGCATTTTTTTTTGTGGTGTTATTGGAGACTTTTTGAGATTGTGAGACTCTCTTCAGAGCATCTACACGACCACACTGCAAAGAAATCACGTTTGCGTAAAGCCATTGCTAGCTAACTTAACCATACATACACCATACATACTTTCCATGGCACGTCCCTTTAAAGACATCCTTTCAGTGCCTGGAGCCGTGCCGGTGTTCGGTCTTGATCTGGTTGTGCTGTTCAGCTGCAGAGGCAGAGGAAGGTGGATAAGAATTTGAAGAGGCAGCAGGCGAGGCAGCGATACAGGAAAGTTTATATTACAAGAAACTAAATTCACTTGAGGCAAAAAAAAAAAAAAAAAGTCCAGTAAACAAACAAGAATGTAGCAGTACAAAAGTCCAGACAAAAATAAATCCCTAATGGGAACAAAAGTTGAGCAGTCAACCAAAAGTATCTTTTGCTGTACAGTACTGTTTTTAAATCACCTTGTTTTTTTTGTTTTTGTTTTTTGTTTTGGGGGGGTCTAAGTTAATATTCATGAAAAAAGCAAAACCCCACAAAAAAGGAGCAAAGGCTGATGGCTGACGAAGACATCCGTCCATAGGGAGCATCTTAATTCATTGTCTGCTTCCTCTTCGTGTGTCGACTCCAGTAAGCTCCATCCTTTGCCTCGCGTCCTGCTCATATGTGCCTCCATCCACCGATGCATGACCTGTACCAGTTATCCTCACCAGGGTTTGGGGGGATGCTGGAGCTGAGTTTGGGTGAGAGGCAGGCAACGACCTAAATTGATGCGTAGCCAAGGACGCATAAAGACAAACAACCGTTCATATTCACATCTACGGACCAATTAAAGTCTTCAATTAACCTTCCGTGCGTGTTTTGTTTTTTGAGAAAACCCATACATGCACTCTCCCGCATTGGAAGCAGGCAACGACCTAAATTGGTGCGTAGCCAAGGACGCATAAAGACAAACAACCATTCATATTCACATCTACGGACCAATTAAAGTTTTCAATTAACCTTCCGTGCGTGTTTTGTTTTTGAGAAAACCCATACATGCACTCTCCCGCATTTGAACCTACGACCTCCGAACTTTGTGGCAGATTTGCTATCCAGCTGTACAAATGTGTATCATCTCATATACATATATACATATTATAATATACAGACAATTACATATTCTGGTGCCAGGATGCTTCCAGAAAGCAGAAAAATGATTAATTGAGCTCTATTTTTGGAGACAAGCGCATCTGCGGTAGATCCTGATTTTCGTGCAAGCACACGGCGCGTTGCACTCGTGCCAATTTGGCAGATCGGTCCCCACCAAGCTGGCCGTGCCAATGCAACATAGGGAGTGCCGTCGGAGAGGCGCCTGGCCGAATGACAATTTGGTGACAGAAAGTCGTTCTAAAGTTGCACCTGCTCAGACTGTGTCTAAAAGAGCTTCTTGGGCCAAATGTTTTTACTGAGATTTGGTTGACTTTGAATATGTTTCTTTCATTGGCTCTTGCTTGGCATCAAATGATCCTGAATACCACTTGGATAGCTGTTGAGCTATCTGACCTCCTTCCCGTCATGTATATACTGCTTATTTGGATTAATTTCGAGGGTGTGCTGGAGGATATCTGACATTTGGCAAGAGGCGCGCATGGTACACACCGGACGGGTTGCGAGCCAACTGCAGCCGATTCAGTTTGTCCTTTGGTGCGAATCGTTGTTGGGATCGCAATAGAGGTGGTGTGCACCCGCACACGCTAACCGTTCCACCATTTCAAATTGGCCAGAAATACAATAATCAGCAGAGGACAAATCTGCACACACAACCAAGTGATATGTTGAGCTGTTTTGTGGCCAAAGCTTCATGTTGTAAATTTAGTCGCCCGCATCACCCTCCCCGCAGAGACGCTGTGCAGTATTTATGAGCGTTTCATGCCAAATTTATTGCAGCTTTAATTTTAGTGCATGTTTGCAACTCGCGTGCACATGTGTATTCAAACCAATGCGAGTGTTTCAGCTCCAGATGGCGTGTTAACTTGCCGAGTTATAAAGTGAGCGGAAATTATGCAGAAGCTCGAATTCCGCAAACAAGCCTTAATTCTTAATTTGGATATGAATTAGTGTCCCTGTTACTTGGCAAAGCTCTGTGATTTCCCCGGACGCCAGGCGTGTTTATAGCTGGGCCTGCTGCCTTCTGCAGAGGAGCATGTGGATAATATTGAAGACTCAATAACACAACTTGAGCAAGTTCGCTGATCAACTCACACGGGGAGAGGAGAGGGAAAGAGCAGAAGCAAAAAGTATGAGCACAGGTTATGCCACGCAGATACAAGTATGTAGATGACACTTAATTTCACACAATCCTCCGTGTTGTTCACCTGGTTGTGTACTGAAGAAGCCACCCCCCCAAAAAAAAAGTTGCTTAAGTGAATGAAAAATATGTGGTTTAAAGTTGAAACTGCACTGAGGTGTCATTCTTCTTTGTTTTCTCTTCCCGCAGTGCGTGCCCATCGCTGGCCACGGATTTGTGTTGGACAAATACAAGTGCCGATGCAAGAGAGGATTTTACCATCCAAGCCGTGTGGCGCTCAGTGACTTGAACAGTAGGTTACAAATACTTTTAGGGAGTTTTACAATACATATTGCCCCTCCTTTGTCAAATCAAAACGTTTTGTTCAAATCCGACTCTTTTGGGTTGAACAGGTTTAGCAGAAGGATGAATAGTACATGTATCATTAACTCTCCCGATCGTGGGCTGGAATCAAATGAGTGCGTTCAGTCTGATAAATTTGACTGAGAGCACTGCAGTGTCCGAGGGCAGGAAGCTTGGATCCGATGAGCGAAATAATCAAGCGGCTGCGGGGCTTCTCGGCTCCGGCTCCGACAACACTGTGCCTCTGAGGCCATGATATGATAAGCTTCACCTTTATTGTAATGCCGCATGATATGAGGCCTGAGGCCCTCAGGCTCAATCTGTGATGAGACACTCGATTAAGAATCACATTGGTGCACTTTGGCTCACAGGTCCTGGAAACTGCCTGCTGTATTTTTTTTTGTATACACCTGAGGTTCAGACAGATGAGATTGGTCAGGAAAACGATTTTGCATCGTTCCCTAGCAACGAGGAAAAAGGGCACAGGGGTGAGGTCAAGGCGCAGCATGTGATGTCAAATCAGAAACCCTGCACAAGAACATCCTTTCTACGACAATGCATATAATTTGAATATGCAGTACTGCTTACATTGCAGATTCCATTCACCAAATAATAGGCAAGAGGTCCATAAAACGGCAGGGTCAAAAGTTCACAACTTCAAACCTTCCATTAGAATGTCACCGTGGCGAAACCTGATGAGATGTGCCCCTAACATGCAAAATATTTCCACTAAAAGAGGATGCTAAAAGACAGTGAAAAGGCCATATAGACAGAGGAAAATGGTCTTATGTGGCCAGCAAATGACGGCGTGGATGGCGTACAATAACGCACAGGGAAAAAAAAATTGTGTCGACCATTTTTAGTGACTAGTTCGGTCGACTTTATTGCACAACCCTCAACCTGGTTTAGGTGACAAAATATTGGAGGGATTCCGCATTATTTGGGACCGGAGACTGTTGATATTTTCCATCCCTTCTTCATCCGCCGACATATTTTATGACCCGATTGCTGCATTTGCATATGATACGAGCAGTAAGAATCACAATGGAAATGTACGTTTAACGAGCACACTTTTTCAGAGGTGCTGCAGATGGTCAGTGAATAAATTGGAGGATTGCTATCAGAACTAATAGACTCCCAATCTGCCCTCAACAGGCATGTTGCCAAAGGAATCTGTCTTTTTGTTTGTTTGGTTTGTTTTTTTTTTTTGGATAGATTATTAGAGCAAATGACATTAGAAGTAACTCGAGTAGCTCGCACAACACTTTCAGATACATTGGAAAAGCAATCAGGGAGAACAGACTTGATAAATCCATTCAGACATGAGCGATTAAAAATGTAGCGTATCGATGCTTTATTCTCTTCTCTCTCATCATTCCCTCATGAAAGATTTTATTTTTGTCGCGGTAATTATTGTGACATTTTGATGTATTGGCTTTGTGATTGCTACTCATGAAACAAATCAATTAAAGCCAATCCACTCATTGCGGTGTCACTCCTAATAAAAAACTCAAACACAAATTGCTCTAATCCAAGAAATAAAATGAATCAAAGCAATGTGGAAAAATCCTCAGGAGGCCCTTCCCGCCTCCGCGTCCTCATCAATATTGAAATGTCTGACTAAGCCCTTTTCTGTTCTCAGGTAAGGCGCAGGGCTCTCGCAGGGACGACGTTTCTGATGTGGCGAGTAAGTGCCTCCCTTGCCGGGTGGGCTGTCCCTACTGCAGAGACAACACACCCTGTCTGGCCCGGGAGGACAGCGGGCTGCGGCTTGCCGTGGCCTCCTTCCAAGGCCTGTGCGTGCTGCTGGACTTGGCCAGCATGGTGGCCGTCTACCACTTCAGGAGAAGTAAGGTGAGCGGAGATATCATGCTGCGCCTACCTGTCTAGTAAAATGACCTACCTTCATGTGCCTACCTGCCAAGCACGTACCTGCCATACCTATTCACAAATACCCCTCCCCACATATGCCTACTGATATAACCCTAGCTAATTTTCTTATGTTTTATCTTTGCACCCACATACATCTGTATGCACCGTTATCCGCCCAGCTACAAATACCGAGTGATGGATCAAAGTGTGAAGCGCGTAACGAAGCGTGATGCATTTATAGGAATACAATACAGGAAGAAAAAAAAAAATCTTTCTGAATAAAAAACGTTCCTAAACAGATCATGTACATAAACACATCACGTCCCACCGGATTTGTTTCATTTGTACCATAGCATTCACCGCAAATGAATCATCTGCAGATTAAATGAATGAACCCCACAAGATCTAATTATGCTGTTTTAATTCCAGTTATTATTCCCACGCGGACTGCAAAGAAGCAATCACACATCGAACAAATGTCACTGAAGGCTTTGGCCAACGGGGAGTTTGTGTGCACATGAAGCCCCGAGCGGTGAAACTTTTTGTGAAGCAGTCGGATGGAAATCTTCAAGTCTTCAGATGACTTCATCTGGCCATGACGACAAATATCCATCGACATGTACTTCACTTGACATACATACTTGCCTACGATATGTCTGCCAACCATCAGTGACGGAATGACGGCCCTCCCGTCAGTATTGACGGAACGTCCACCTCCGCTGCCTATCTTACCTATACTGTACCTCCCTTCCTCTATCTGCCAACCTATTTATCAACTTACTTCGACCTACAATTGCACCTTCCCACATATACTGTACTTACCAAATTACTGACACCTAGCCACTCACCCACCTAGCTTACATCTACCAGGCTACTGACCTCTACTTTCCAACCCTATGACGAGTCTTCCAAGCGACCTACCCAAATCCACCTACTCCCTAGCAACTTGCCCACCAAGCAACCTACATAGCCATCTAATTTAGCTAGCCGTAATCTAGCTAATCTAGCTAACCAATCTACACCTCACTAAAATGCCTACAATTATTGCTCCTGACAAGCCAATTCTTTCTTTCTTTCGTCCTCCGCAGAGTATCCGTACTTCTGGATTCATTCTATTGGAAACACTGTTGTTTGGAGCTTTACTGCTGTACTTCCCCGTAAGTAGATTTCATTTCCATTACTCATCCGTCAGTAGGCTACACAATACAAGAGAAGCATTAGCTCGGAATCACTGCGTTGAAAAAACCCTCCAGGTGCATCTGTGATCTCTACCCTGCCCAGCTTGTACGTGACTCTCATGAAGTTCTCTTTAATCACTTGGATAGAACGCTGAACTGCCGTCGCTGATATGATTGGCTGATAAACAAACAAAATGAGAGAGTCGTGTTGAATTGAACGCCTTCTGGCATGAAGCTATATCAGCCCCCGTGAGAGCGGGCTTCTTCGTCAACTTTTTCAGCGGCAAAGTGACTGACAGGACGTTCAACAAGCGGCAGAATAATATGAAACTATGAAGACGTTTAAGACACGATCATTAGCCTCGCTGCATAGAATCGATCGCCTTTGGAGTTGCTCAACTCATGTAAAGTAGTTGACGATAAAATCAAGAAATTGGGATTTTGATTTATTCTTTTAAGGCAGACAGGCCCATGAGTACCATATCAGGTAAAGCCCGTTGGTCACATCTTGAGCTTGGAAACAGATGGATGGAATTTCCACGTGACAGAGAGATCTGAGGGAAATTGGGGATTCTCTCCCTTCAAATACTTCTTGAAGTTTCAAACGCTGGCTTAAGCTTTCCTTTTTTTATTTTTTATTCTCTAAACGAAAAAAGAGCTTTAGAATGTTCAGCACGATGCACACCTGTGCTTATTTTTAATGCTTCTGGGGCATTATCTTGCAAAAGACAGTAAGCACCTGTTATTTTTGTTCCTGCAGACGTTCGCCTTCACGTGACAGGGTAGTCAAGATGAATTGGAGTTTGCATCCCTCCGTTCGGTTCCCTCGGTTGCATGAAAGATACCAAAAATAGCTTCCCCCAAATAGGCTTTCACTCTCTTCGGTGCACAGCCAGGAGGTCCTCGTCTTCTCTGTGCTCTTTTTTTTTTTTCTCAACACTTCGCATCATCTCGCTACCTTTAAGTATGTCTCTACCTTCCCCCAGGTTCTCCTTTAAAGCATTTCCCTCTTCATCTCACCTTGATGTCTGCCTCTTCGCCCATACAGTTACACACACAAAAATACAGTTTGTGTCTTCTCTGCTGTCTTCACAAGCGTCCTCAGCCAAGCGCGGCGCAGCTGCCCCGTTCTGGTGCTCAATGCATTTTTAAACAGTCCATCAAGTTCCACCACCGCATGTTTTAAAAATACAGTACATCTGTTTATTAATTGATGGAGGAAGCATGGTTGGTTGCATGCAAACCGAAGAGGGCCACCACTCCCTCGGGGTGGGATAAAAATGTGCGGTCCCCCGTGACTCGTGGATGCCGGTAGCACTGCGCAAAGGGCGTGACACTGTTTGTCTGCTCGACTCTCCGCAGGTTTGTGTTCAGAGTAGTATAGTCGGGAGTGGTCTAATTTTGCCCGCTGTCTGCAAAGGTGACTTAATATTGTTGCGGCTCCGTCACGTGGCAAAAAAGGGCCTGCGGCGGAGTGGAGGCTTGCTATGAAGACAGAGCGATGATGAAAGGGCCCGTGCAGGAGGCAAATGCAAAATACAGGTTGACATGAGGCACCCGCAAAGAGGATGAGCAGGAAATAGTAACCATAAAAACATAGTAAGGCTTTTTTGGATGGTTGTTTCTTTTTTTTCCCCGTGGGGCTGAGTCTGTTCTGTTCCTGGTTGTGTGCCTGTGTGTGTTTTGTTTTTTTCGTTTCCTGGGTGAATGGTTGATGGGCGGAGCCTCCGAGGTCAGACCCACTGTTCATGTTAATCAGCGAGGTTGCAGCAGTGACTAAAGGCAGATACGCGGTAGCATATCCTCACATTATTGATTGCGATATTCTGTGCTTAGGATCAGTGCTATCATCCTAAGCAGTGAGACCGTTTTTATGACCAATAATTGATGAATTGAGCTCACGATGAGATCAGGCTAGCGCCAGGTCCCGGTTGCATGATCTTCAGACACGCCATCATCAAACGCAAATCACGCGTGGGTCTAATATTCGACACATGTGGACGGTTCATTTACCATTGCACTAAGGCAGTGGTTCTTAACCTGGGTTCAATCGAACCCTCGGGGTTCGGTGAATCAGTCTCAGGGGTTCGACGAAGCCTCTGCCATACAATTAAATTTAAAAAAACTATACTTATGTTTTGAAATGTAATTTACTTTTTTTCTGGTTTTAATAAATGTCTTGAATTTGTAAAAAATCACATTTTTATTTTTCACGAATGAAGGGTTCAGTGAATGTGCATGTGAACTGGTTGGGTTCGGTACCTCTAACAAGGTTAAGAACCACTGGACGAAGGTTTTGCATTCATCGTGAATCTTCTCGCCGACAAAGCTGCAGCTTGGGCGGTAAAAAAACCACAAAGTCATTGGTATGTTCATCAATCCCCTCCGAGACGAGGAGCATTTTTGGCTGGGCTTAACTCAGGGAGAATCGTCCGTCACCGAGTACTTCATCGCCTTCTGCATTTTAACTGCCGAGAGTGCATTCAACAATGTCCCCCGCAATCCGCGTCGGGGGATTAAACACACAAGTCAAGGATGAACTGGTGCGGTGGAGCTTATTGTCTAGTGTTGTGGGAAAAATCGAAACACTTTAGTGGACAAGAAACACCGCACAAGGTTAGCACTGTGAGCGTTACAAGTGAATAACAACGTGCACACAAGGAGTGTGTTAAAATACAACCAGGACGGCGGGCTGCTCAAACGGTGCTTAACTATTTCTCCTGAAGCGAGGTCATAAACATGCAGATGTCATCTGCCTTATGCAATGGCCGCTGCCCCCGGGCTGCTGAAATCTTGCTTTGTCTCACACCAAGGTGACATCAACAATATCAGAGAGAGAGAGAAACACGGTCTACGTTCTTATCCTTGTCAAAACGAATGCATGAGGTGATCATTCACAGGACAGATATTTTAAGGACAAAGACATACATTTTGTCATCCGGTTAGACAATCAAAAAAGCAGGGGGCAGAGTTACCATGCCAACAACTGGTTCCAACTGGAGATTTGGATTTCAGCCGACGCAGACGTGGTTCCACTTGGCGTCACTTCGTTCACAAGTAGACTCACTGTTGCAGCACAAGAACCAATGTGGGGGACGACTCACCTCTGTTTTGTTGTCGTGTTTTTGTTGTTGTTTGTTTTTGAAGTGATTGTAATTGTATTTTAGTGGTTGTACATCTGTTCCGTAGCCAGTGAAAGAAGACTGATTTAAATTCATGATGCTTTTCTTCTTGTAACGGGATACTGTCTGTTTTTATTTTGGTTTAATGATTTTATTTTTTGATTTTTTTTGATGGTGTGGGCTGTGATTGTACCTCCCTGCAGGTTATGATACTATACTTCCACCCTAGTGTGTTCCGATGTATACTCCTGAGATGGGTTCGCCTGCTGGGTTTCGCCATCGTGTATGGCACCATCATCCTCAAGCTGTACAGGTAAACTGCTAGAATGGATGATCGTCGGTAACTTGAATTGAAAATATTGTTTGACTCCCAAACGTTTGCCGCATCTGCATCAAAAGAGCACATTTCAATTTTCACCATTTTCTTTTACATCATGTTTGTCGACTGTTGCAATACGAAGTCTCTTCTCAGACGCACGCTCGTTTCTGTTTGAGCGCTTCGGAGACAGGAGCAAGAGGTCAGCCCGGTCACAGTGTTCTCCCGGTCAATGTACCGATTTGATCATCATTCCGAGCTGGCTGTTTGGCTGCGAAGTGTGCCCTGGGGGAGCCCTCTTGCAAGCTGCTCCTTATGACTTTTGACTGTTTGTATATCTGCAGCAGTTGATGATCTTATCTCGACCGCCATATGGCTCCTCATCTCCTCATTTTGGCTGGAGTGTTTTATTTTTATTTTTTTATTCCCTTTACATAGATGCATTACCATTACACAATGCAGATTATGAATAAAACGGATCTTCTGGTTGAGCCCTATTTCATTTCCAATGAGCTGAATCCTTATTAGTAAAAAAAAAAAAGCAGATGCATTTTTCTTTCATTGAAGTCCTCCTTGAACCTCCGTTAGGAATCCCGCGGGGTGGCAGGAAGTTCAATTGGGAAGGCGGAGGTTATAACACGCAAATGCTCACGCACATACAAGCACACACACATTTCTAATTCAGGCTTGATGCATTCCATGGCAAGTTTCATGCATAACACCAACCCAACACGTGCAGGCTATGCGGTAACACTTCTCACCTAGGGCTACCACAAAAGATGATTTTGTGCATGTGTCCAATGATGTCTCAAAGCTGTGATCACTACTGTCCTCTCCTCTCGCTCCATCCAGAGTATTGAAGGTGTTCCTGTCGCGTACGGCGCAAAGGACACCCTACATGACCAGCTGGCGGGTCCTTAGGATGCTGGCAATAATTGTCTTGGTGGTTCTGTGGTTCCTGGTGGCCTGGACCTCTGCGGTATGCCAGAACCCCGAGCTGAGTCGGGCCTTAATCACAGCCGGCCTCTCATCGGAGGGGCTGCAGTTTAGTCTGTGTCTGTTGGACCGGTGGGACTACATGATGGCCGTTGGTGAGTGAGTTCGACACTGTCATGTACAAAAATCCGAGAATTCTAAATTCTTTGGAAAAGTCCACCCTGTCGACAGTTACGCAATGGTGTCAATTAATGCTGCTTCTTTACTAGAATAGACAGTATGCTTCACTTTGTTAATATAAAACTGTCGGAGAGGGAGAGGAGAAGAGAATAGTGAAGCCCTGAAGATGAAAAAGAAGCTGTCAGAATCTCACACGCCGGGCGGGGGCTTTCAATGGACTGACTGACGTCAAATACAACAATCTCACCATATCTGTGTGCGTGTAGTGTGTGCAGGACAGGAAATGAAGGAGCCTGCTAGTTACCATGACAACCTTTGAGAACACACTAATGTGTTGAGGCTACGCTTTGAACAGGAAGTTCTCTGCAAAGCTGCTTCCGAAAACTCTTGACTGATGTCATCCTCGCAAAATTACCTCAGCAATATGGCCTGTTTAGTAATATTGCTGACGACGGAGCACTCATCTGCCTAAAAAGAAATATCCATCCATCCATCCGTTCTCCAAAGCGCTTATCCTTCTGAGGCTCGCCGGCATGCTGGAGACTACCCCAGCTGTCTTTGGGCACAGCCCGGAACTGGTTGCCAGCCAATCACGGGGCACACATAGACAAACAACCGTTGGCGCTCACAATCAGGGACAGGGACAGGGACAATTCAGAGCGTTCACTCAACCTCGCACGCATGTTTTTTATGGAACGTGGGAGAAAATCTCTGCTCTGTGAGGATGATGTGCTAACCAGTCGTGGTACCTCGAAAAAGAAATAAATAAGAAAGAAGTCTTTTTTTTTTCCCGACTCGCAAAGTAACAGCAGTCTTGAGAATATCAACAGTAAACAAGCATTTGTTTGATTTGTTCTGCTTCCCATCCTACAAGAGGAGCTCCCTTTGCACCCCGAGACTAAGTGGCATGTAATTTGATGATTTATAGATCGGATCTATTCATGACTTTTAATAGGCTCCAAACTGAAAAGAATTTATGGACTGTTATAGATCTGATGGCAGAGTTAAGAGGGCCATTTGGAGTCTGTAAAGCATAAATCAAGCTTTATAACCTCTGCTCTTTTGCCATTTTCAAAATGTCATTTACACCTAATTGTTTTCACTTTTGACTTTTACTAGACGTGTGGGTAGAATGCACCAACTCCAAACTTGGAGATTTCAAATCGATGTTTTATTTGTGATGCTAAAATCAACCCACGCAAAACAAGAGTTTGGATGTTCCGGTGCTTGCGGGTTTTCTCCGGGTACTCTGGCTTCTTTCCACATTCCGAAAACATCCCAAACACAACAATCAAAGACCTTAAATTGTCCTGAATGCGAGTGAATGGCTGTTCATTCATATGTGCTCTGAGACTGATTGGCGACCAGTCAAAAGTCAGAAATGACAGACTCCTGTTCAAACGGGGCCCCAATGAGGGCAAATGTGATAAAATGCATCCGTCAAGGCTCGAACTCAGCAGTTTCTCATCAAAACACAATGAATAGCAAAACTGAGGATCACAGACTTTTATACATTGCATAAGAAAAGAAAACACATTTGGTGTTTTGTTACAAGTGTCATGTATTTATTGTTTCTGAAAAACCTTTGCTTCTGGGTTTAACCTGCAAATTGTTCCTAAAAATTAGAAAGTTGCTCCTCGAATGAAGTCATTGATGAGCAAAAATTGCTCTGCAAAGGGAATTTTCTTTCTTTTTTTTTTTTTTTTTTACACACTTAATGAATTTGATTAATAGAGCAAACCCAAATGTTTCCATTTCAATCCAATTGCATTTCTTTTGCTTCCCAGCGGAGTTGCTATTCCTGCTGTGGGGTGTTTACCTGTGCTACGCCGTCCGAACGATTCACTCAGCTTTTCACGAGCCACGCTACATGGCGGTGGCCATCTACAACGAGCTACTCTTATCGGCCGTCTTCCACATCATCAGGTGGGTGCGGAAAACTGGAACGATCCGTTCTAAAAAGCTGATCAGACTCGTTTGGCGCCATTCCGCGAGTAACTCGCTCGTGCTAGCATGTGTTCACGTCTCCACATTGTAGGACCGACCGCCTCCGGTGTCAGAGTCAAGTTTCAGAAAAGCAAACCTCAAGCAACGGGTCTCCGAAACAAACGTGTCAACGTTTTTAGAATTGCAGCGTCAGGTTTTAGAGAGGATCTCTAAAGTCGTCAGGTGTCCGGTGAGGCAGACGTGCTAGCTAACCAGTCGGCCACCGTACCGCCCAGGAAAACGTGTGTGTGCGGTTATTGTACGTCTGGCGATGAGAAAATGTGTTGATAGACGTCTGTTCGCTACTCAGGGATTCCTCCTGAAATAAACATGAGAGTGACCCTTGAGTTTTGTTTTAAGTGACAACAGTCATCACTGCTCTAACATAACGTTTTTTTTTTTCCACAGTCTTCTCTGAGCCAGTTTGTCGGGTTCATTCTTCTTCTGAAATTAGCCATGAAAAAACACATGAACACTCTTGTGAGGCTGTCATCGTTTGTATCTTGTGTTACAGTTCGTGCATTGTGTCCTTTTGCCTTGACCTCTTTTCAGTTAGACGTCGTTTACGGCTCAATTTATGATTAGTTTATACTTTTGTCCTTTTTCGTGGTGTTCCTCAAACCCCATTTTTGTTTCTGATTGAGTTCACGTTGGCAAAATGACCTTGTGTCCGTGGCAATCAACCAGTCCTTTCTTCGTGGTGAAAAAAACTTAAAAGCTTTCAGTCCAAACAATTTCATTTGCCACACATTCTCGATCAAAAACTGTGATTGGAGATGTTTTGCACCAGCGGGAATTCAGAGTAACCATCACACCAAAAAGTGTTTACTCCACGATGAAGCTGAAGGGTCCAGCAGACACGTGTTCATTTTTGTGGTCATCTTCCGTGTGGTTATATATCAAGCAGCTCTCACTTGCTGAGGGGGAAAAAACCTGGTTTGGTTTTGTTTACAGTTGACGTGGATAGAAAAGAGAAACACCGTGGGCTCTTATTGATGTCTGGCATACCGGAATTTACAGACTGCAAGAGTTCTCGGCTCATCTCGCTTGTAACTTTCAACTCTGATACTGTGGCTGAACAGAAAATCTTTGTGTTCCTGCAGGTTCTCCGTGGCGCCCGGCCTTCACCCCGACTGGATGCTAATGCTGATCTTCGCTCACACTCATCTTACCGTCACTGTGACTGTGGGACTGCTTCTTGTTCCAAAGGTATCGCTCCATTATGCGCAGTTCATGAGCTGTGCCCACCTCTGGCGCAGCAGATTGTAAGTTTACATCCGACTGCAGCGCGATTTTTGAGCACCGCAGATTGACGTAGTGCCTCGTAGCCGATTTGAAGCTGTTTTGTCGCATCGTACCATACTCCGCAATTGGTTGTGAGGCGTCACGACGACGAAATTCTGGCATGTCCGAATTTTTGTTTGTCTCGACACGTAGTGTGACATGTCCTACGTCGTCCTTTGATCAGATCGCGCGGAATGATTGGGTAGGCTGCGGCGCATCGAGATTTCCATAACGGCTGATGTCGTTTTGCAGCTTCAAATCGCAACAGCTCATTCATCTGTTTGAGCTCATGTGATCGGCGCAATCAGAAACATTCACCAAAGCAGAAAGAAGAACATTTGCGGCCGGTGCCGCAAACCGATTTAAATGGCGTTACTCATGATTGTAATTTTGCTAAGCACTCCCATCGGCGTCTTTATATGCAATCTCTTACGTCTGATGGAAAACATTTAATCGCCCCGCTGTGTGATAAAAGCAGTACACCATCAACGTTCCCGCTTCTTTCATTCGGTCTTAATTAGGCTCCTCAGATATTCGAGTCAGTCGAGTAGGCCGGGATAATGAAGCGCAACGGGAGTGTGTTAAGCTCACACGGCGTCTGCTTTTCAGCCTGGCCTAAATATTGGGCCCCCCTTTGTTGTTTTGCTTTCACTTGCTCAAGCAAACCTAAATAATTAGACCGTCATCCACTGCCTTTATGCGACTGAAATTCCCTGAACGGCGGAACCCTTATTTAACTGACTAATTGGAGGGAGGGGTTATCCGATTGTCCAATATTTGTTTTTTGTTTTTTTCATGCTTAAAAATACTCAATATAGTACAGAGCAGTTCTGCACTTTTTTTTCTTGGCCCAAAAATAACCAGTACAGTCCTAAGTTATTGTAAATAAATGTATGAAAAAAAAGCTTCAAACTGTTTATCCAAACTTGGGTGCTGGGGTAGGGATAACGGCGTGCAACTCCTTTTTTCACCACATTTATAACTGGACATCATTGATAGTGTAAAATCACAGAGGAAATGTCTTCACTAGGTTTAGTTTTTTTTTTTCTTCTAAGATTTATTAAAATATTGTCTGTGCCCTTATGCTACGAGCCAATATTATTGGCAGAAATGGCTCATTTGTCTCAATAGAGCAAATTTAATTTCAGAGGGGAAAGCGCTTTAATTTTCGAACATCCATCTCACTAACGTATTTACTGCAGGAAATGATTTTTCACGGCTGTCACACCTCCGATTGCCTTCACGGATATTTTGGACATCATCATTACAAGCGCAAAAAGTGCTCCTTTGCAAAATATTTTCCTTTTGGAACCGTGTAATGATATTTTCGTGGTACTTTTCTCTCTCAGTTCTTTACAAAAGGGACTCAGGCTCGGGATGATATTGCCACGGAGGCCTATGAAGAGGAGCTGGACATCGGAAGGTCCGGTTCTTACCTCAATAACAGCATCACCTCAGCCTGGAGTGAGCACAGCTTGGACCCTGAGGACATACGGGTGAGGAAACGCACACGCATCATCGACTTGGTCGTCGCATGCTTTTTCTGTCGATTCAAAATGCTGGTAAATAATTGAGGATTGGCCATGTCAGACTTCATAGAGCAGGAGTGTCAAACTCATTTTTGTTGCGGGCCATATTTTGGTGACCGTTTCCCTCAGAGGGCCGTTCTGACTGAAACCATCTCAAGAAGTCAAGAATAACTGTTGATTCAACTCTTATTTAAGTTACTATCATGAGAAAATGCGTTGTCTTATTTATTACATATGAGAATATAATTTTTTTTGGTCGACATTTTAGAAAGCATCATGGAAGTTGACGTGTTTAATCTGATTTCGTGGGCCACATAAAATGATGTGGCGGGCCAGATCTGGCCCCCGGGCCTTGAGTTTGACACCTGTGTCATAGAGGAACTGTCCACCGTATGGTGCTTTTTTTCCATAGATATTAGTATCTGTTTAGTGATCTGAAAAAAAACAAACATATTCTTCCCTTTATAAAAGGTAGTCATTGCAATCGTAAAAAAAAAAACGTGCAAAGCAGTGGGAAATCACTGTAGTGCACGTAGAGATGAATTTAGATTGATCCACAGTTGCCTCTCTCAGGATGAGTTGAAAAAACTCTACGCCCAGCTGGAAGTCTACAAACGCAAGAAGATGCTGGCCAACAACCCTCACCTCCAAAAGAAACGCAATTCCAAAAAGGGCCTCGGTCGCACCCTGATGAAAAGGATCACGGAGATCCCGGAGACCATGCACATACACCGCCAGTGTAGCAGGGAAGACGGCAGCGAGCACGGTAGCAACCGCAGCACTTTGAGACGAAACCACCTGGAGAGCAATCAGCACGGTGAGATCTGAACAGTCGTCATCTCTAAAACATCACTTGGCTATCTTTATTTGTATTAACATTTTATGAGACAGACACCTACTTGCTGATTAACCGCCACTGTGTTAACATTCGAAGAAAAAAAAAAAAGTTCCACATAGTGATTAACGGAGACAGTCATAATCGGTGCCGTCGTTAAACCTTCATGAATAACTTTCAAATCAATGTAACGTATTTTTCGGAGCAGGAGTCACACGTTTTGTCGCAGTGTGTCTGGTTCTGCGACTTATGCTCAGTTGCAACTTGTATAATTAGCACTCTGACTGGCACCGGAAATCCCTGTTACAGGGGAATGGTCTAGAGTTGATTTTTTTCTTTTTCATTTGTTTATTTAAATAGAGAGGCCGATTTGTGGAAGCTGTGCGTTATAAAACCGAAACCCTGTGAGCTGTCAAAAAATAAATACACAAAAAGAGGTCCAATGCATTAAGCTGCATACTAGCGTGATGCCAGCTCTGTTTTAGGAATGAAATTGAGACAGACAGTGACCTTGCGGGCATCCTGTAAACGGCGCGTGTAAAATTCACTTGCAAAACTGCGCGCCGTCGAGATCTCAAATCCAATTCTTGTCAAGATATTCCAGTCTCGACTGAGAAAGGGCAACCTACAGCTGAGAGCCACAAAATGTTTTGCTGCTGGTATATCAACCGGGGGTGTGCGTCTTTCCAATAAATGACGATTCGATATGGATTTCAAGGACGCGTCTTTTAATTCAAAACCGATTTTCCGATTCAAATCATTTTTGTTACACCCCCTGACATCAACCTATGACTTGCGTCACATTGAAGTTAGAGCAAGATTTTTCCACGAAGGTCAAGAATCTCTCAAAAGATTCGAATCTCCCTTCAGGAAAACCTCGAGAAGATTCCCTCAAGAACAAAGTCGCAAGCTTGCAGAAATCGCTGAGCTACGATCACGTTTGTGACCAAGATGACGAAAGTGGAAGTCAAAGCGGCTCGGCAGCGGGGGACAAAATGACTCCGGTGGGCAACGGCGGAGAGGGTTCGCTTCTCGGTTCCCTCATTGGCCGCAAACATTGCAAAAAGCAACTGGAACCGGTCGCGCCGCCCTCCAAGCTGGAACCGGCAAAGTCCACCGAGTCGGTTGCCCTCTTCTGGAAGTCGGCGAGCGTTCACAACTTAACGCACGAAAAGAAACCGGTGCACCTGCGCACCTCCATCATGCAGAAGTCTCTCAGTGTGATCGCCAGCGCCAAGGAGAAGATGCCGGGCCTCGGCAACAAGACGCAGAGCGTGGAGGATGCCAGCAAAAAAGGTGTGAAGGGTCCAGAGGGGAGGATGTTGTCAGAGGTGGATGAGACCCCGGAACATTTTCCCAAAATGATCATCAGCCAGTCCGTGGAGTACTCCAAGACGCATATGAAGATGGGCATCATGAAGCAGCAGGTACCTTGCGATTGGGTGAGTTGCTGCGACTCTTTGGGTCAATTCACGCTAACGCATTTTCTCGCTTAATTCTAGGTGAGTGGTAGCCAGCCATCCATTTGCTCCGAAACTGGCAGGAACTTGTACGATGTGTCCGAAGTTTGTCCCTGGGAGCCGGAAGAGCCTCAAACACCATCTGAAGCCAAGACACAGAAGCACGTGTCCATCGCCCCGGACGAAAGCGACGCAGGGCGAAGAGGGAGCGGCGGCTCGGGCCTCGGCAAATGCGGCCGGTCTCAGCAGAGGCCGAAAACGGGGCAGTCTCCTTCAAACAGACGACGCTCCAAGGACAGAGGAGGGGAGAGGGAGGAGAGCAGGGAAACGCGGAAAGCGCGCGGACCCAGGTCACCTCTGCCTCTCAAGCCGGATGTGAGCCCCTGGGATTTTGAGGAGCAGCCCATGCTCGGTGGCGTTTCGGAGGCCATTTCCCCCGAAAGAATCCGCCGCAAAAAGAGCGTCACGCCGACGGACGGTAAGCCCAAGGCACTCCGCTCAGACCACTCCAAGTCCACGGGAAGCTTGTTGCAGCCTCCCTCCTTGATGGTCGAGATCTGCCCGTGGGATTACAACAGCCCACCCTCACCCAAGCAGGAGAAGATCTGCAGCAGCCCTTCCGCGCACAAGAAGAAACGGAAAGGCTCCTGCTCATCCAACCATAAAGCGGAGAAGGAGAAGGGCAGGGAGAAAAACCGGGAACGACGGAGCTCCTCCGGTAAGCCGCCGTCGGAGAGAAGGCGCGTCAGCCAGTCGGCCGAGTGCGCCGGGCTGGTCTCTGAGCGGAGGAGGAGCTCCAGCAAAGACCCAGAGTGGGCAGAGATCAGGAGGGCACGTGAGACCGAAGCCTCCGACAGCAGTTTTGGTCAGACTAAAACTTCCACCGACAGGAAGAAAGAGCGGTCTCACAAACCTGCGGTCGGTAGCGGTCCAAAGATGGCTGACGTTTGCCCCTGGGACTTTGAGGACCAGGACCCGGCAGAGAGAGCATGATGACCGCTGTCATTGACCGATTGTCGTCACAGACTTACAGCATGACCGAGTCAAGTTTCAAATGTTTGATTGAGAGGAACCAAAAGATGTTCACGGCCATTTTTAAGTCCTGCTTTCGCACTTTTCATTGAGAATGGTGGCAATTTGACAAAACGACATTGAGCTGTGTTGTACCAATTTTATTTTTGACACAACGAGGTCGCTAGAGGAGTGGGGGGGGGGGGGAGTTGCCAATACTTGGTGCACTAATTTTAATGTAGGAAGCACGCGCTGGAGCCAGATCTCGAAATTCCTACCAAGACAACTCGGTCTGGATCTTATCGTCATGTGGAAGAAAACCGATGTTGCCGATGGTAATGGCATTTGAAGCAATACGTTGCCATTCCACTGCAAATTATATCAGTGACATCGTTTGTTTTTCTTGTTTTCATTTTGGACTCCTGAATTTTTGACCGTTATGACACTGCATCAACGTGTATCGGTTGTTTTGTCCATGCCTGAGTAAACGTCTCCCATTCCGCAAAGCGGCATGAGACTGGAGACATTTAGAGCGATGAGAGGATTTAGTCAAAGTGCCATGGCTTTTTTTAATTTCTTCACATCAGCAGTGCACTTGTTTTTCCGCCCGTCCGATTACTCCGTCAATGAAAATGAATGGAATATTTTTCGACCAGATGCAAACTCAAACACGGTTTGATTAAATTTAAATCCAATAATAGAAGTGAAGAATTAATGTGTGACCCATCAGCAAATGTGTTTGAGGAATAATTTTGTCAGTACTTGTAAATTGTATGTGCGTGAGTATGGGCTGGAGTGGGATTTGTTCTCCTTGTTTTTATTTTTATTTTATTGTTCTGAAGTGTTTCCTGATCGAATTAAAATCAACCGGCAGATGCTTCCTGGTCAATGACCCCGATGCCGATGAATACAATTCAAATATTTGCATGTTGCTGTTGCGTTGCTTTCAATGCAACATCTAAGTCGCTATGAATGAGAGTTTGCTCTGCAAATACTTTGCTTGCACGCCGCGCTACCTTTCCACATTATATGCCTCCACTTCTTTGACACACGGAAACTTGGATCTCACTTGTATTTTTTCAGATTTTTTGACACACAAAAACAATGGATTCTTCTTCCAATCATGTTGTTGGATATTGATGCACGCGTTCCCTGTAGAGCAAAGATATTAGATACTAACAATGCACCAAAAAAATTAAAAAAATAGAAGCTGTGTGAATCCGGACCAAATACTTTCTTCACAGCATGATGATGAAGATGATGGCGTGTGTGTTTAGAAGATGGGAATGACCGAATACAGTATTGTTGCCCAGTCTTTATACCTACCGTCCGTCGGCACCATGGAAAAGCCATCGCATGGGGCAACTAATGAGTCTCCGCGTGTATATTGGTTTTCTTGTTGCAACGGTGGTATTAATGTCGTTCCGGTTCGGTTTCAACATATCTAATTTCATAACTGAACTTCTCTGATCATCAAGCTTTCAGAAAACAGCACAGATGTAACAAGTATTTTCCTGAACATGCATCAACACTCTTTTTTTACTTGGCAAACATTCACTTCTCACTAATGTTTTTTGTTTTACTATCAACCTTTAAATATATGTTTTGTCCAGTATTTTATGCTTCCTGGTTTTCACTCCCAAATTGCTGCAGACTCTTTAAGCACAAATGGGAAAGTATTTCTTTGTGACTATTCATATTGTGTTGCATGTATATACAATGAATACACTTTTGTCAATTCAGAATTAAATATTTCTATTCAAACTCACGGGTCTCCGATCTGCTTCACTTATGAATGTCATTTTTTTTCGTACTTCTTTTCACCCATGTCTCTACTTCTACTGAAATTTTGTACAATGTGAGTGCATTTGCTATCTCTGATTATTTTCTTTATGGCCTAAAAATGCGCTTTCGTACGTCTATATTAGCGTCACTTTCAAGTAACTCTTATTCATATTGAGCTGATTAGTCACACCTGCTGTCCTTCCCATCTGGCATGTTGCCAGATGCGCTTCAACCAATCGGCTGCTTCGCTCGGTGCTCACTATTGACGTTTTCCTTGTTCCAGTTGAGTAAGTACTTACATTTGTTCATGCTTAATTTTTCCGTTTGTACTCTCGCCTAAATCGTGATTAGGACTGCAATAAACTGTGACATCTAACCTACGATACCGCAAGGGATAAATATATGGTGGATGACATTTCAGGATGAATCTAAAATGCACTACGAATGCACTTCGTTTGACACCGAACCTCAGTGGTTGCTGTTCGTACCCGTGTTTTACGTCTGGAGAGTCGTAAACTTCTCTTTTTTTTCTCTCATAATCACATTAGACAGTTCTTGTTCGCCGATAGTCTGCCAGGACATAATGTGATTCTTTTCCTTCATATTTTGTTTTCTTTTTTCAAGGTAAATTTGTCGTAAAAGTGTCGAACGCCGCTTTTTTTTTCAAAGGCAAGTTGAGCAAATATTCAGACGAAGATTTGACTTTTTTTCACGCCAACACAACAGTGTTGGAATATTTTAGATGTGCTGTACAACACTGCCATCTTGTGGAAAAATAGAACGACTGCCTCGCTTGGACTATCAATACAACAACAACGACAAAACGAACACACATAATCGAATCCCTCCCATGATAGTCTGATTTTGACGCGTTGCACTTTTAAGACATAATGTGGCAAAAACTGCATTAAGCGTGCTGCATTTTTTTTGTTTGTTTCCTCCCCCGATTATTACGTAGTAGTGACGTCAGACCCGCGGTACCGGACAGGGCTGATCCTCTCTGCAGGACCTGCCACTCCTCCTCCTCAGCAGCATCATCATCATCATCTTCATCCCAGCCTCCACACTCACAACACACTCATAACCTTTCTTGTTGTGTTTTTGCAAAAACACACATTGCTCCGGACCATCATGGGGAACGTGCAGGTAAGAAAACGTAGTCAGATGTCAACGATAGTTGAAGGCGAAAGGTCGAGCAATTCTAGTAGAATGAGGACATCATGCTTTTCAGGTTTTTGGGGACTCTTATGCGCATGTTTTCAAGATGGAATGTCCAGATCAAATGTACTGTACGTGGGGCAAAACATTGTCGGCTTTTCTGGTACTTTTCAAGAGGGCGCTATTGAGGACGTTTACGTCATTTCCCTTCAAACGACGCACCTTTCCACCAGGCCCGAATTGTAAACTTTTGACGACGTATTTAAAGTGAAACATTTTTTTTCCCCGTCGATGACAATATGTGCTCCACCCTTGCATCGGTATCTGGAGTATTGCATTTATTTTTTTTGAAGTCTTTATGGCTCAGGCCTGGATTCTAAGCTCCTATGTAACAACATATGGTTGGAGTAAGTGCAAGGTCATTTTTTTCTTAAGATGACTTGTTTTCTTGCAAAGACAACCTGCAGAGAGTTTCCCACCATAAGGATGTAAGCGGCAGTCATTTAGAATTTGTGAGGGGGACTAATCGATAATGCTGCATTGTGTGACCGGAGAGGAGTTGGGTGGGTGTGCCTGGCAGTGACTCAGCAAAGCACAGGCTGCACCAGACTGCAAGCGGCCTGGATGTCACGCCCAGTGACCAGACCTCGTCCGGTTTCAGATTTGATTAGAATTTCTCATAAGGCTCACTTTAAAAACTCTCGCAGGCGGCAATATTGGGAAGGCAGTGTTATCTATAAACTCATCGTGACAAGTTGATATATTTGTCTTTATAAAGATGATAATGCTGGACTATATTTGACGCAGTCAAGCTACGAGGTGTTTGCCCCATTTAAAAAAAAAAAAAACAAACTTTTGTCCAACTAAAATGGAAATGAGATAATGATGAAGTGCAATTCTGGACCACGGCGCATTAGAAATACTGTGACATGAATCTTTCTCAATGAGCTTTGTCTCGGTAAATGCACAATTTCTTTACATTGATGGGATGTGATAACAACTAAGCCCCGATGAAAAGTTTTTTTAAACAGCTTACAGTTAAACGTAGAGTGCACGTGAGACATTTTCATGATCCTTTCTACGTTTCTCCTTTCTAGCCCACCGTCGTCCCGTTCGAGGACTTTGATGTTACAGCTGACATAAAGGCCATTCGACAAGCATGTAAAGGTTTAGGTGAGTACTTTCCTGAGACCTTCATTTGTTCTTAAATCATGTCCGATTTCTTCTAGGGCACCGGGTTCAGAATTAACATGTTCAGAAGTGCAGAAAATAGAACAATCTGTTCATTTCAAGGCTAGGTCAGTAGTTGTTTGCTCCTGTTGGGAATTCCGTTTCGGGTTGTGGCAGCGCACCACACCGGAGTGAAGGATCATGCTTGAAAGAGTCCCCACTTCATCCGATCAATTTATTTCAAGTGGCTGACTGTTTGCGTTTGGCCTTCAGATGACGAGCCGCGGCCGTGGACGGAGCCAAAGTGTGCTTCAGTCGTGGCTTGTGCATTGATGACAAAAGCAGCTTCTTGGAGCTGCCGGAATGTATTTTTATGGTAGCACACGCTGATTATCGTACATCGCTTCTTGCTTGTGTTTAAGAGGCGCAAAACGTATATAAGAACGTCTTCAAAGAGGTACATGATCAAGGACAATCGATCGCCGTCGAGAGGATTCGAATCTTTGTTTCTTCAGGCCTTCCTGTGTGACGCTTGCATGTTCCCGAATGAAAATGTCCTCCTTCCAGGTACGGATGAAGAAGCCATCATTCAAATCCTGGCCAATCGCTCGGCAGCTCAACGTCTGGAGATCAAGCAGGCTTACTTTGAAAAGTACGACGACGTGAGTGCCCGCCGTCGTCGTCTCACCCTCGGTGTCACACCGCCGCGTCGTGCCCTACAGTATGTCTGTTGGCTTAGGAGTTGGAGGAGGTCCTGAAAAAGGAGCTGACCGGCAGCTTTGAGAACGCCATCATGGCCATGTTGGACCCTCCCAACGTCTACTTCGCCAAGGAGCTGGGGAAGGCCATGAAGGGGGCGGGCACGGATGAAGCCGTGCTGGTGGAGATCCTGTGCACGGCCACCAACGAGGTCTGTCAAAATACGCTCAAGTCATTTCGGCATCGCGCCGAAGATGTTCCACATTTTCAAGAAGCAATCGGAAGGCGGCGGCTTGCTTCCGACGCACCAACAAATAACTTGGTCGGATTCTACAAGTCGGCTCCAATATTCCCACCACAAAGAATCGTCGAGGATATTCTCCAAAAACCTTCGAGTAGACTCATGACGGCCATCTTGTTTCTGATTAAATCATCTCTCTTTTTTTGACCCCCTAACAGGACATTATCAGTTACAAAGAGGCCTATGCCCAGGGTAAGCTCTTCTTCATGGATGTATTGTACAAATATTCGTCCATTCAAATGTCAAGAAACTTTTTTTTTTCCCCCGAAGCACACAATATCCTAAAGATGAGTTTTGTTTTCTTTCTAAGATATTGAACATGTCCATCCCAACTTGCTACAAGTGTACGGATCACAATTAGGGGAAATCTGTGAGGGGAAAAATATTTCCACCAGCATGCTGATATTGTTTATCATGACTATTGGATGTTTTGGGAGTCATAGCGTCAGGACTTGTGGCTTTCTCACTCTCGTTTTAATCCACGTTAACATACGTCCCCTGGGATCGAGTGCACATTTGATGTTGCCGTTCTTGTTTGTCGAGCGTAAAGTGTCCAAGGAGTAATTGATGACTTTTCAGTGCATGAACGTGACCTGGAAGCTGACATCGAAGACGACACCAGTGGCGACGTGAGGAACCTCCTGATCTCACTCCTGCAGGTGAACGTGTTTCATTCTCTTTCACTCTCTCATTGAGTCGTACTTTGAAGTCACGTTTCAAAATGGACCAGAAGGAAGCGCCGGGATTGCGTCGCCCCAGCCCATGAGATAACGTTCAGACAATAGCTTTGCACGCTTTTATTCGCCTACTCGGCTATTGAGCTACACACGGCGTCATTGTTATGCCTGCATGCCATCTCCGTCCCGCTCACGCTCCCGCCCGTTTCCTTCCCCTTTGTGAAAAATGACAAACGCAGCATGACTTATGTTCCAAGGACTCGCCACGGACCCGCGGCTTCCAAATGGGGCCTTTTCATAATGTGTTGCGGATGATTGTGATCCCACCAAATGCGTGTGAATATTTGTTTAAGCCATCGCTCGGGCTTTTCCCCCCCCCGTCTTCTCGCTAAATCTCTTGATCTTCGTCATCAAATCTGTCTGCAGGCGAGCAGAGACGAGGGCTACGAGGTGGATGAGGGCTTAGCCGAACAGGACGCCGCGTCTTTGTTTGAGGTACGTTTTGAAACGCGTTAAGAATAAGCGGCTCACTTTGAATCTATTATCTTCGAGTCTTGCTGCACGTGAGCTCAGGATGGTTGGTAAACCTTTCTTCCAATACAGATTAGGTCTTGCTGCTTTTGTTCAGGAGGACTTTATGGAAATGTCATATTCACAGTGAGCAATAATGCTCCGTTACACTTAGCTGCACATTCGAAGGTAGTAATGGTCAAATTTTGGTTGGCGGATGAACTTCTTTTGATTATAATGGTGGTCGCTGCCATTCACAGTGAGCAATAATGCACTTAGCTGCACATCCAAAGGTAGTAATGCTCAATTTTTGGTTGGTGGATGAACTTCTTTTGATTATAATGGTGGTCGCTGCATCAGAATGTGTTTCTAAGATTTTGCTTTTCTCACTTCATGAAATCTACCCATCCCTTTAGTCCAGGGGGGCCCCATTTTGTCAGTCGCGATCTACTTGTATATTTTTTCCAAACAGTTATTTATGGTGGTTTTTTTTTTGGGGGGGGGGGGTTTGGTTTTTTTTTTTTTTTTTTTTTTGGAGCAGTTATTTATGGTGTTTTTTTTTTTGTACTTAATGTAAAAAAAAGAAAAAATTGAGAACCACTTAGTTGGTAAGTGAACGTGCCATTTAGGGTCCGCCATTTGGGATCCGGCTGACAGATCTCAGTCGTAGCGAATCATGGAGATCATGCCCACCAACAGCATTCGCTATTTGGCGTTTTAAGGCTTCATTGTCCCCAATGACACTCCAGCTCTCCACAAATGACCCCAAAAAGTGCTTTAACTCCAACCGATATCGGCCAAATGAGTTTAATGAGCTCCAGATTGAAAATGAACGGTTTCCTGCTCTCATTTGATTGCAACCACCAGGCAGGAGAAGGCATGTTTGGCACGGATGAGTCGACCTTCAGCTACATCCTCACGCACAGGAACTACATGCAGCTTCAGGCCACTTTTAAAGCCTATGAGGCGGTAAGTGGTGCGCACACTTGTTCCGGAGCAGCGTTTGACTTTGTCAGTAACGCGTCACATTTTTGTCTTTCAATTGAAGCTATCGGGGACCGATATTTTGGACACGATTGACTCGGAGGCCACAGGAACTCTAAAGGACTGTTACGTCACTCTCGGTATGCAAGTCATGAAGGTCCAGTCTCAGACATAAAACTGCAAACACACATCATATTTTTAAACACATCTTACATCAGTGAACCATATGACAATGGTGATACTGATGTCTTCTTACCCAAGATGCGTATTGTGCATTTTGTACAGTGCGGTGCGCCAAGAACCCTCAGCTGTACTTCGCGCGACGCCTCAATGCTGCAATGAAGGGAGTCGGCACCGACGAGGACACGCTCATCCGCATGATCGTGGGTCGCTCCGAGGTGTGTGTTTTAGTGTGAAAATATTAGTCAGCCGCAGTTGTGTCTCGTGCGAACCGCTACAAAGTTGCATGTGGATGACGCGGGTTTGCCGCGGCTGTTGATTAACACCAGTCGAGTCGCGCTCATGTTTCATTGTGGCGACATGAGTAAGCATTGTCGTGTAGCATATACAACGCGTTGCTTTACTTCTATGGGTTGATGGCACGTTTGTCCACCAGATTGACCTGGAGACAGTGAAGGACATGTACCTGGAAAAGTATGATGTCACCTTGAAAGACGCTCTGGATGGCGAGTGCGGCGGGGACTTCAAACGTCTCCTCCTGGAGATCTTGCACTGAGACACTTTTCTTCCTCTTACTAGCCTTATTTAACAAAGTGATGTGTCTTCCTCTCTACCTCCTCCAAGCACCTCACCCGTTTCCCTCATACACTCTGTGTCATTATCACCGGTCTCTTGTCTTAACACGTACTGTACTCTTTATTAGCTTGATGTCCGCTGACATAGTCTCGCGTGTCTTTGCGGCGTGGACCAAAAAGCAAAATGTTGCCACACGTTAACTGCCATTTAGTGCGTCTCCACTCTGATGACATTCAGTGGAAAGTTTCATACTGCCGTGAATCTACATGGATCCAGCAACTAGCTTTTGGCAACTTTGAAGGAGAATAGGAACTTTAATATATTTACATAAACTATACATACCATTCATGTATTCGTAAGTACTGTCTGTGTCGTTTGCAGTTTAAACACAACAAACTGTCTCACCATCTGTGTAAAAAAAAAAAAAACTAGCTGCATTATAAACGTAGCGCATTTTGCCTCAAAGATGTCTTTCATAGGCACGCACCTTAATTTCTGCCGCAACACTTAACACTTGAGTGTCGACTGGCCACATGAAATCAGCAGTAACTTCAGTAACTGTTTAGCTGCACAGTTTTGTTAATTCCCTGTCAAGTTTTAAGCCCTCTTTAATCATAGTTAACAAATTGCAGTCGTATGACTTGATTTCGCAATGGTACACAATGACAATTTTCATATTGTTGCTCACTTTCTAATTTGAGGCACTCACAACACTAGAGAATTTGTGCTTTTAGGATGGTTGGACACTGCTGGTAAGGCAACACTGAACAAGACAATTGCGCTCACTGAAGTCTATGTATGCAAGCGTATGTTATTCAAATGAAAGTGGCTACTGTAATAAGACTGTGTCACGGTGTATTCTATTGACATGGAAAGTGTAATACAGAAATTAAAACGGAGCTAAGTATCTCAAGTTGTTTAATGGTCTGTTAACGTAGCAGTGTGGCACGCAACACAAAATGTATCCCAAACCCACGTCACTGAGTGACAAACATTCTTAGGGGCCAATGCTGGTAGCACTGTTAGCTAATGCCAGGCAGCTCTGCTAAACTTTTGACTGATAGAGCCATGGCAAAGTTTGTTTTTCACTCTGGAACCAGGCCAGCCTAGTTTAATACGTTTTTTTTTTTTTTTAAACTGTAGTTTGTAGGGGCGGTTATTATCAAATTAATCACACGGTTACGTCATAATGGATGGAAGGGCTCACTCACAAACACATTTTCAGAAATGGACAGATAACTGCAGATTGACCTGGTAGTTTAATTTTACTCTTCTTGGGTGGGCAGACATTCTTGACACCCAACTATTTGGGTACAAAACAAAGGGCAGGTTTCCCTAATATGTGCCTTTTAATTGTGATTTTTACAGTTGCAGGGGCAAAAGCTGGCCACAAGACGGCAGCAAAACACCTTTATGCGTGTGTTCTTGTGACATCATAAATCATGACCAGTTTGATCGTTTCATCTTCTGAAAACCCCACCAAACATTTATTTCAATGCCCCCCAGGCCCTCCCCATTTCCCCAGCTTCTAATATGCCATTGAATGTGACATCACATTAGAGGCATCTGCAGCGTAATGTGACCTGCTTTCAAGATGTGGGGACGATCAGCAGAAGAGGAGAGGGGTGAAAGTCAGTCTCCTCTGTAACATGTTAGACTTTCCAGTCTGCTTTTGAGCTGTCATAAGTCCTCAGCTGCAGGTATGTTTGAATGAAATATCTGTACAGCCTTTATATTTTGCACTTCTACCCAATGTCCTGTCGAGGAATCACAAAGTGAACAGGTCTTCAGACTTGGTAAAGCAGCATGTGGCTCACAGTCCAAAGTTAGGACGATCGTATATTTGTGATGACGAATTAGGGTTTTTCACAAGTCGCTGCACATCAAATGCTCAACTGGTTTTCATAAGCATTTGAACTTTTGATTTCATGCCTTAGCAATTTAGCGCAGGGGGAAATAGGAGGTTAGTCGGAGGGCCACTGCGGGGTTGAGAACTAATCATTTCATGTCATTTCAACTCATGAGAAATGAGCTCGTTTGCTTTTCCTGTGTAATCGGTACCACCTGGAATGTTTTGACAAGAATTATGGCGCAAAACAGATTGATTTAATTGATTTACATTTTATTTGCATCGCTATCAAATATAAATGCAGTACTTCTTTGCTGTGCTAAATGATAGTTACATCTTAATGTGGCGTATGATAAGAAGCTGTCCCCCGAAGACATTTGCACGTTAGCGCGACCTTTGTGGAACACGTGAGTCTGTTTAAGAGGCAGAGCGCAGCCTTTAAACAAGGCATGCAGTGGATATTCACATTAGAAAATGGTGACTAACATGAAACACATGTTCACAACAACTACTTTTTTTTTTGTAGGGGGGTTGAGGGGGTGAGGGGGCTTGACAGCAGGAAACGTGGCCAGAAGGGCTATATTACTTAAAAGTCAACAACCGTTGTGGTATTACCCAACGCTACGGCATGTTTTCCTTTCGTGGCTGCTAAATCACGCTACATGTTAGATTAGAGGCGACACGATTCAGAAGTGGCAGTGTAGCAATAGATGGATAACAAATGATATGAATGGGGTGGAAAAAAATAAAATAAAATAAATCGCACTGGTTCCCGCCCACATTTCAAAAACATGCATGGCAGGCTAATGGAACATTCTCAATTGTCCCTAGGTGGGATTGTGAGCGCGATTGGTTGTTCGTCGATGGGTGTGACCTGCGATGACCCCGCTTGCTGCCCGAAGCCTGCTGGAATAGGCTCCGGCACGCCCGCGACCCTTATGAGGAGAAGCGGGTGAGAAAATGAATGGATGGATATAGGCTGCACGTAGTCAACTGGTGAGCACGTCCGCCGCAAAGTACGCAGGGTTCGATTGTGGCTCCGACCTTCCCGTTTGGAGTTTGCATGTTCTCCCCGTGCCTGCGTGGGCTTTCTCTGGGTATTCTGGTTTCCTACCCCAGTCCAAAAAACATCCATGGCAGGCTAATGGAGCACTCAAAATAGTCCCTTGGTGCGAATGTGAGCACGGATAGTTGTTTTTCTATGTGCGCCCTGCGATGGGCTCAGCAATCAGTTCAGGGTGTGCCCGAAGACAGCTGGAATAGGCTCCAGCACGCCTGCGACCCTCGTGAGGAGAAGCAGTTCAGATCATGGATGGATAGATGGATGATGAACTGTATTGTCACCCATCCAAGTAAATACGATCAATTCTTCATGTTACAACTTAATTCAAACAGTTTGGGGAAACCAGATTTCTGTTCTGTTGAGAAAAAAAAATGCTGAATTTGAGAGGCCCGACCTCAACCCACTTCAACGCCCAACAGTATTTAGATATTCTGAGCCAACAATAATGAGCTCAACAAATCATCTTGTGGACAAAAATGACTACTCGTAAAGACAAGGCAAACTTTTCAACTGCTCGACTTGTTTGTCTGAATGTCATTATAATTTATAGCAAAAATGTGTCTGTTCTTTTTGTGGCTTTCAGTCCGCTGAAATGCAATCCACGTGGTGAAATCGGGTCAGAGTTGTGATGTTATGCAGACACCCAGAGGACTGACACTCCGCTTCCTGCGTGGGGGCTGACCTGGTTGACTCGCCCTCGTACACAGTCCAGCGTGAAGAACACCGTTGTGCCATTGTGCACCTGGAAAGATGCCCGCAGGCTTACGCTGGCCCACTGGCTACCATCAGGCATTTGTCCGCCGACATGTTGGGCCAGGGGGGTGGGCCGTGCGCCCTTTGCCTCCCAGCCTGCTCCAGGGTCATTTAGTTGGAGTAGAGTCACCTTGAGCAGGCTGCAAGAGTGAATCAGTTTTAAGTCCAGAGCCACATTGGCAGTGCCGCTCTCCCTGAAGAGCAAATCTTGGCTGGGTTTAGCGGCGCCCTTCTCCGACAGCCCCATTTGGGACACCCTGGGACTCTTCTGATGGAAGAACAGAGGCTTGTTTCGGACGGCTCCTGAGGGAGTTTGAGCTACGGAGACATAAATGGAGGCGGAGATGGCAGCGGGAACCCAAACCAAGCTGAGGCCACTGACGCCTGCGTCATCGCTAAAGAAACGGACATTGCACTGCGCAGGAGACAGAATCTCAAAGGCCAACGTGTCTCCGGAACCAACTTCAGTCGCTCCGGAGAGAGAGATGGAAGTGTCGCGATAGTGGACACCTGGTTTGAAGGTCCGGCAAAGCTCCAAAACGCTCCCGTTACGATTGAGGTACGCCAACATTTGGAAGCCCTCGCTCACACATGCCTGGCCCATGGAGTACAACGCCTGCTGAAATACAAAGCGCACGGTACCGCTTTCTGCAAAACGTATCCCGCGGCCGTCGTGGGTCGGAACCACCACGTAAGGGTCCGAAGTGGAGGTGATACGAAAGATCGGCCGATGGTTCGTGTGGTAGTGAGCCGACAGCGCGGCCTGCGCCGTCATGGCGACGGCGCCGGTATCGTGGGACAGCCACATGAAGCTCAGCGAAGCGGCCGAGGGCTCGAAAAGCCACAAATTTTCATCGCTCCGGTTGCAGTGTTGGTTAGCGCTCCAAAGGGAAGTGGAGATCACGTGACCCGGGGCGACCTCCGCTACGGCGCTGATGCTGACGCCCTGGAAAGCCCTCGCTTCCCGTTGCTCAATTCTGACACCGCTGAGGTCACGGCTTTCAGAGCCGTCGCTGGCGTTGACGTGAAAACACACCTGAACGAAGCTGCGGCAGCCGTGGTTCACAGAAAGGCTCTGCTCCAGCCACACCAGCCCGTGCTTCTTCATCACCAGGTGTCCGTCCTCGGCCGAGGCCAAGTTCGTGCGGTCTCCCGCCCGGATGCGAAGCTGCACGCCCGGCGAGGCCAGGCTCATCGCGTGGCCCCTGGTGTCGGGCAGACTCACATCTCCGGTCCAGGAAAGAGAGAGGAAACTCTCACCGGCGAGATATCCGGAGCAGACGGTGTCTGTCGTAAATGTACATCGCGATGCCGCTGGTTGTCCTTCACACTCGGCGCAGGCCTGACACTCGTCCATGTCCAAGTTGTAGAAATAGTCGTGGCCGCACATGCCGGTTCTGGCGTCTCGCTCTGTCATTCCTTGACATCTAAAACCACCTGGGAATAAAAGGGGCACCACTCAAAACATTGATGGATGTGCAGATGTGCAATTGCCGTCTAAATACCAAAGAAACTCTGTCAAGCACCCGTGTTGGCTCAGGCTTTTATGCCATCGAAAGGACAAGAATTTTTGAATGCCTGAAGTTGGTGGGTTTTTTTTTAGACCAGGGGTGTCGAACATACGGCCCGTAGGGAGGTTCGATCAGGCCCGTGGGATAATTTAAAAGTGAGAAAAATGCATAAAAGACACGCAATTAATAATTTTAATTAGGTGCAATTCATGGAGTATCCGCTAGGGGACACACGGTTTTCATCAGAGTAGAAGACAACATTGTTTTGATCAGAGAAGAAGACAACAGCCGCCTCAGTCTGTCACTGAGACAGACTCAACACAGCGGACGCTATCAACAGCACTCTCACATTTACACATTTAATAGCACTTTCCTTAGTTTGTAAGGTGTAGGCAGGGATTACATTTAGATTTTATATGCACGTTCATTAAATTTTCAGTGTTCATTAAATGTCAACATTTTCCTAATGTTCTTGTGCTTCTTTAGACCAAAACAAAGGAAAGACATATTATTTTGGTTATTTATAGCATTTAATGGTCCCGGCCCACTTGACATCTACCGAGGCCGTATGTGGCCCACCATGTGAAATGAGTTTGACACCCCTGTTTTAGACTAACATGAGGCACAACATGTTTGGCACAAAACATTCTTGAAGCGGACGACGCCATAGATCAGGAATGTCTGGCATCGCCGAATCGCTTGTATCATCGTCGTTCATGTTCCCTGTTTCACATTCTGCCGCAGAAGTCCTGAACACGTGCAGTTAGTCAATTCAAATCACAACCATTTCTTCTCTCTCTAGCTCCCCCGCCGGTGAATTTAAACAAAAAAGTAGAGAGACGATCGAGATTTTGTCGAATTCCTACTTCTCTGTCAATCAAATCTCTCTCTAGCTCCCCCCGGTGAATTTAAACAAAAAAGTAGAGAGTCGAGATTTTGTCGAATTCCTACTTCTCTGTCAATCAAATGTAGTTGATTTGTGAAAGTGTTTTGTCATTTGTCAGCGTTACCTGGTGTGTTGACACATTTATGTTGGTCCTCGCAAAGGTCAGCGAGCTCAAGGCATTCATCTCTGTCCTGCAACCACAAATTGTTCACTTACACAAAAAGCCGTTTCCGGTACTTTCTCTCCGTTTTGACCCATTCAACCGCTTCGGTCTCACCTGACAGATTCGATCGGCGTGGACCGAACACTGCGCCACCAGGAAGAAGCCGGCGGGACAGACGGTGCATTTTTCACAGCGTGGATGACCACCGCTGAAGTCACAGTATTCCTCGGGGCCGCATCTCCCGCAAGTCACGAGCGAATGGCCCACCTGCTGGGCATCAAACACGGTTTGGGCCAAATCTGAGCGTGATCGCACTGGAATACACGAAACCGCGTATGGCATACGCTGCAGTTTATTATGACGAATGGAGGTGGACGTTTACCTCCATGACGCTGGCTTCCATGTCCACCTTGTGCAAAGAGAGGGCCTGCTGAAGTCCATGCGGGCCGCCGGGCTCACTCGAGACTTCCCTTTGGCTGTCCAGCTCCTCCTGGAGGTTCTGCATGGACATTTGCTTGACGGTGTCCAATAGGATGTTATACTGTGCCTTGACCTTGAACACAACCATCCAATCAGGTGAGCGGAACCGATGATCATTCCGACGCGTATCCGGTCACATCTCACTTGCTCCATGTAGTCGTGCATTTTCCTCTGTTGCGCCAGGATTTCTCTCTGCTGGTGGAGCAGCTCCTCCTGTTGCTCGCTGAAGAGCCGATGCATCTCTCTGACTTCTTCCCGCTGACTCTTCAAGGCCTCCACAACCTTCTCTTGGTCCTTGGACAGCTGCAGCTGCAGGATGATCGCGTCGTTGGAAGGAACGTCGTTGCTCCCTGCGGCGAGAGAGAGGCAAGAGGCCACGTGAAGGATTTTCCCCCCTTCGCAAACCACACCAGGTACAGCAGCTCGGCCTGGACGCGACGCAATCAGTGAATGGGAAGGTGTTCGTCCTCACTTTTACCTGATAAATTAATTGTTGACCCATTTGCATCTAAGAGTTAAAAAGTACAACGTGAACTCACTCGTCTTTCAAAGCATCGGTCGTCCAGTTCCAGAATGGGTACACGTTTGTCCTCAACTCCTTTGGAGTTGTTTCGAGGTGATGAAAGATAATGCTGACAGTTTTAGATGTGTTTTTCGCATTACCGGTATATAGCGTTTTTGGTTTGTTTTGTTTTGGAGTTTTTTTGTGATGTGATGCTGTTATGAAGAGGTAGAATAGATCACTTAAATTGCCACTGAAGGCCCGAGTCCGAAACTCACTCACTGCCTGCCACCGTGTGGTCTGCAGCCCTGTTTTTCCACCTTGTAGTGCGAGTTTTAACCCAATCTGCCAAAACAAAGATCACAACCCTCAGGTGTCGATCAGAAAAGGTTCGAGACCACCACTCATGCTCATACTGTGACATTGCCAAGCAAAGATAAACCCGGTCTTGGTCAGCAAGTCATTTTTGATGCAGTTCTCGTACCATGACAATAAGTAAAATCGCTTGATGATTTTGATACCAACCTGATTTCATGTCACATGTCAACTGTATCCACGCGCCGCCGTCTGACCGCTCCTGCGCAAATTGCGCTGCTCTGTCTCTTACGTGAACCGGCGAAGAATTCCCTCCGGCGTCTTCTCCCCTTTGTGCATTGCAGCCAAGGCAAGGTTTTGGTTTCTGGCGGCTGCACTCATTCCCTTTGCATTCCCGTGACGCATCCCTGTCATCGGTTGTCGGTCGACGGTTGACGGCGGTCGGGCAGGTTCCGCCGGCGCAGCCGGGATGAAACACCTCGGCGGTGATCGTTCTCGGGTTGGTCCTTCTTGTGCCATCAGGACCGGTTGGTTGCGCAAAGCCTCTGTTGTGATGGTGGCCGTTGGTCTGGTGATGGCCGTAACGAGCGTCCTGGTGGTAGAAATTGGCGTAGGCTTGCCCTTGCCTGGATTGTGTCGAGAGGTGAAGCTGCGGCCTTGACGCTGCCGCGCGAGTGTCGGTCCGCCCTTGCGCTGCGCTCCAGTCCTGGTTGGAGAGGCATCGAGGCCCCGAGCATATTTCCGAAGCGCTTTCAATTCTGTTCGGTAAGAGAGTGAGACAGAGTAAAAGCACCGCAGAAATATGTGCCATGTTGAGATTCTGGAAGTAGAACTCTGCGAAAGGTTCTCGTCGTCTTCGGTGTTGAGCCGTCAGGTTTGTTTTATCTTTGGTATGTCTTCCCTTGGTAACGGTCCATCGATGTAATGAGCAACTGATTTGGAGCCGTAGTGCTCTGGATGGTCTCTGCCCCCTTTTGCTCCTTGTTGGGGAAAAGCATGCACGCATGGCCCACATGTGGCGTTCGCTGTACCTAATTGGCAACAGCTTTTGCTTCCAGTCTTAAATTAACCCGTCGCTTTCCCGGACATGCCACTCTGCCAAGTCACACCACAAAACATACTGCATCCTTCGGGGCTGCTCTGCTCTAAATTAGCCTGCTACCAGATATCTGACAAAACAGTCAAGAGTCGGGTTTTGTGCTTGGAGAAGATACTTATGAGCAAGAAGCGTGCAGGAAAAAAATGTGTAAAAGCGTATATGTGACTTTCCCTTTAAAAAGTGACTTATGTTTTGAGTGTCTTTCTTGTCAGTTGTACACTTAGTTGCAGCAGATGAGAGTGCAAACTTAATTTTCAACCCAAAACACCTCACACAAAACACTCCTGAAAGTTTCTTGCATAAATGTGTGCAAAGCGTTTGTTTCCCTTAGTACTTAGTTGCAGCAGATCATCCTCGCACAAAACACTCTTGAAAGTTTTTTGCATAAATGTGTGCAAAGCGTTTGTTTCCCTTAGCTACGCGTGTCTCCCTTTCGCATTTGCACATTTCTACATAAAAAGTGAATCGATATTTTTGGTCACGTTTTCGACGTCCCTCTTTCACACACAGGCGCACACAAAAGCCCACATTTGTACAATTTGATATGAACAGGGAGTATCACTATGTACAGTGCACTACTTACTGTCGCTCCGGAGCCTATTCAAGAGTTAAATTTTCCTCCCCATCAAGCTATGTTTCATAGCAGCCACTGCAGAGTAATGAGAAAACAGCGAGAAGCTTCTCAACCACACAAAAGGGGAAACATGTTGATTTTACTGCATGCAGGAAACACTTTGGGACTCCTTTCATGCAGTAAAGTCTCAATAAAACACTCTTCAAATACTACGCTCTGGGCTGGGTTTGCTTGCCGTCGGTTCTATGGCGGTTCGTTTGCGAGACGACAGAATGAGAGAGCAGCAGCAGCAGCAGCAAGCGTTTTAATGAGGCAGTGGGATTTAAGAGCAACATGTGCTTTGATTAGTCGACGCTCGGGGCAGCGAATTACAAGTTTGCCGTATTATGCCAAATATAGAAACAGGTGGCGCATCGAAAGGGTGAAAGGGAAACATTTGATTGGTTTTCATGCGAGTGTGGTAGTTCTCGCCCACTGTATATATAAATGCTATTTACGATATTCCACTTTCATAGGAATCTCACCAAACCGCCTTCTAGTTTAATGGACCGTGTGTTAATAGTGTATATGAACAAAATGAGGCCCAAGAGGGGAGGGAACATTTTCAAGGCCATCAATGCCTGAGCTATATTCAGGGACCTATGCTTCTTATTTTGGATCAAAAAGAACATGAAACAACCAAAAAAAAAAAAAGCTGTTGATTACAGTACAGAGAATGTGTGTGAACTCGTATCCATGCAAAATGCATCAAACTTTCACTGCATGTATTCAGTGGTTGCCACTCAACTTGTTGCTCAGACCGTGGATGGATAGAGAGCTGCAGCAACAGAGTAAGAGTAAAGTAGAAAAAAAAATGTCTCGGAGCGATTAAAACAAAAAAGAAGAAAAAAATGGTTTCAGTTCAGTTCTCGGTTTGTATCATAAGCAGCTGTGCACCCTGCGGGATGTCAATCTGCAGATGTGGAACCTGTTGAACGCTTTCGTTATTTTGTCCCACCCCTTCGTTTTATTAGTGGCTCCAGTAAACATTATTTTCTACTTGCTTAACTCTGGAAATAACTGAAATTCATCACACTTGCAGCTAACATCTATCATACTATTTCCACGCTGTAACAGTACTTTATTGATTCTATTTATGGTTCCATGCTATTTTGCATTCATCAACGCGCCTACTTATAGTCGCAGCCCCATTTCATTGTATGTGTAGCACGCTACGACAATGCAGGCTTTGTTTTCTCTTCAATAGCAATGTCCAAATAGCGAGAAAAAAAAAAAAAACGTCTATAAGCTCAAGTACTGTATGTGTGTGACCTCCAATAACACTTGAAGAAATGCAGGAACCTGCCTCTTGATCCGGAATGGTACGGAACGCGATGCTAACGCTGTAGTGGCTGTCCCACTTTTTACAGTCCGACAATTTCAAAATGAAAGCTCAACAACTTTGATTGTTTACCGTCTCGATGTTGATATCCGTGCGTAAATAGCGCACGGGTCATTTTGTATTGAGAGAAAACCCGAGGCAGTTTGACACGAATTAACTTGAGTCACATTCTTTCTCATGACCACGTGAGATGAGCTCGAGCCACACGCTGCTGCATGGATGATTTAGTTGGGGAAGTTGGGGAAGGTTACAGGAGGTGATTGGCTGATTGTAATGTACCTCGCCAATCCGGGAATGATCTGGTCACCCCTGGAAGCCTTTGAGATACAAAAAAAAATAAAAATCTAGTGTGACACAGTGATGTGAGGTCATCGCATCTGGATTTGACCATGGGTCATGGCCACAGATTCCGTCTAAAGCGTATAAGCCTCTTATTGTATAAGAGTGACTCGCCAAGAAAAGCATTGCATACATCTGACTGAGGCAATCACAGCCCGAGATTTGATTCATTATTGTGCACATAAGCTTGAATGAGAGCGGTCCAAAGACTAGGATAAGGCATCATCATGACATAAGCCATAAACGTCATTGCGGTGAACTCCTCCATGCCACATGCTGTAACTGCACTTTGTTCAAACATAGTTGTGATTAGATTCTCAGAGTTGCGGAAACAAACGGATTTAAACTAATACCACTTGACCGGATTTGATCCATTCTATGCTTTGCTGCCTGGGAGCCAAAAAAAAAAAATGATGGTGTAAAACAACACACTGTTCTCGTAAATGAAAGTCAGACACACTTCTCATTTGAATGGAAAGTTTGGCATTACTAGCGTCGTTTAGAAGTGTGCCTGATGAAAGAAAACCAAGTCGGATGAAGAACAGTGACACAAATACCACGTGTTTGCGGCTACTAATGTTTTATCCTTCCACCCCTCCATTTTCTCATCCGCGTATCCTCACATGGGTCGCGGGTGTGCCGCAGCATACTATTTTTTCATGATATGTATTTCGAACATAAAATTAAAAACAGTAAAACCAATAAAACCGAAAATGGGTTAATTGATGGTAATTAAACGTACATCAGAAATAGATGCATCCATCATCAATATATTCGACGGATCTGGTTGGTTAGGACTGCACGACTGTCCGTGTTTTATGTTTTGTGTTGTGTTTATTATTTTACTTTTTGTTAACTGTTTTGTTAAGCGCTTTGTTACAGCTGCCGCTTTTGTGAAAGCGCTATATAAATCAGCATGTATTGTATTGTACAGATTTTTTTAAAAGCGTTATCTAACAGCGTTCCCATCTGATAAACGCCATTTACAATGTTACTTGGTGATTTTTTTTACACTTTTGCCACACATTTGTTGTCGTTAATGAACTACTGCCTTCATAAAAGAAAATGCTTTTAGTGTCTTTGACTAAAAGAAGCCATTCTTGTAATGCTCGGCGACTTCCAAAGCTTCAGTGCAACCTAGCTTAATTTACTCTGCCCTCTGCTGGATTTAAAGGAAACTACAAGTAAGCGTCCAACATGACGCAACTGCAGAGTTGCCCAAACTTTTTTTTTTTGACTGAACCGTATCTACTTGGTATCTTCCTGCATTGAAACCCTGGAACTTTTTTTTATTCCAATCATACTCGGGCACAATGTAAAATGACGTCAAAGATTCTCAATAATTAACATGACACAAATCACTTTTTCCCCCCCATGAATTTTTTATTACAAAAAGACTGTACATGAATTTCAATGAACAACAGCTATATACAAACCGAGAGAAGACGAATATTCCGTTCTCTTCTCATGAATACTTAAGTTACCAATCTCCCCCCATCATCATACAAAAGACACATAAAAAAGAAATGGGCGTCTACACTTGTGATACCCAGAAATGACGTTATGTGATAAACATTACAAAGTTCTGCACATAAGTGGTTGTCACATGATTTCTCTATGAAAAAGTATAAATAAACCCTTGACATAGAAAGTGTGCGCAAACATTTGTCCGCTGCTCCAAACAGACAGTAGATGTAAAAACGAGTGGAATGCAAAGCTAGAAATACATAGAAAAGTAATTTTTGTTTCCCCGCACAAGTCACCGCATGATGGAAACGTACAATCGTATGTGTGATGTGTTCACAGGAAATGTTGACAAATGTTCATGCAAAGTGGATGAATAAATACTGAATTGGCAGCATGTTTTTTTTTTATGAAAATGTTCCATATGAACATAAAAGGCATTCCACTTTTCTTAATTTTTTTTGAATAAAAATTCACAATTAAGCCCCTTTAATATACAGTGCTCAACATAAACGTGTACACCCCCGTTTTCAGATTCCGATGAATAGTTGACTCAGCGCAGTTGGAAACCTTGTGAATTCAAATTTATATCTACGGTCGATTAAGTTTGAGTCAGAAAGGAACCCGTCGGGTTGTACTCATTTATGATGAGCGCTGTCAATGATTGTATGATGGCATCAGACAGCAAGTTAGCTCGGGCATTGTTTTTTTTGTTTTTTTCCATTAACAGTATGTGAAGAGTCATGCTATGTGCTGCATTGGGGATTTTCCATGTAGCTCATGACATACACTATATGGAAAGAAGTATCGCTGCCAAATGACTCACTTGATCACTTGGGAGTTCAACCGCACCCCTAGGGCTCTCGATACTGCAATTCGATACCTCCGACTGGAAGGTAGAGTTAGGAAAAGGGTGTTCCAATACTTCTGTCCATACAGCGTGTACTTTGTTTCAATCGTGCCGCTCTGACAGTAGATCAACTACATTCACAACATTGTAAAGACGATTACAATCAAAATGGCCGACTCTTCTCCCACTGCAAAATGAACCGACAAACAAGGCGCCCTTGTTACATTTCTCCTTTGAGTCGAGGTTGTTTGGGTTGACGATTGCTGCGGTTCAGCACCGATGGAAAGCACCACAACAGCAAGCGCTCGACCGGCAGGCAACGGCTTTGCGGCAGAATTCTGGACTTGTGTGATGCAGTCGGAGAAAAAAAAATAAAAGAAAAAGCAGTGCAGCTATTGATACGTGGTGACCTGACGCACACTCGACTCCTTCACTGACTTCAAGACGAGACACAACTTTGCTACAGTGGCTGGACAGCACATTAGTCATATGCGGCGGCGGTGAGAAATATCACTGACGGTTCCCACTGTACAAGTTCGACGGCAACGTGGCCGATGAAGAAAATGCGCACGTACAAATGAAAAGAATCACAAATGTGTCATCGACTCTTGGCGCCGCCTGTATGGAAACTGATGGAAATTCACAAGGAGTTTTCACACACAGACAAATGCACTTTACCCTACTGTTAGTGCCTCACGTCACACTTTATGTACAAGTTAGAGCAGACGAAAGAGTGTCTTGTTTTGTTTGTTTGTTTTTTATATTCTACATCAACCCGGTTGACCAGTTTTAAAGGGATTCTACGAATATCATCTCAAACATTAGAAAATGTGGACTTTTAGAAGATCGAGTCACTGCTGACATCGTGTTATTTTTTTTCCTCCATTCGTGGCACGGTTACAGATGCGGCTCGCCAGTCGGATTCACAACTAAAAGCTCTGGGCTCGAATCTGGGCTCAGACCTTTCCGCGTAGGGTTCTTTCTGTGCTTGTGTTTCTTTCGATGCCGTTTCGTCTTATTTCCTCCGATTCATAAAACGGGTGTGCTGGGTCGACGGTTGGTGACACGTGTTCAATCATCGAGAGGCAATCAGAGCAGTAGGTAGCCTGCCTCTCGCTGAAAAGTCAACCAGTGTAAGCTCAAGTTTACTCGGAACAAAAAAAAAAGTGGTCGAAAATGGACGTTTTCCTGCCCACTGCAGATCTTCTACTAAAAACATTTTCAGTGTTTTAGGTGATATCACAACAAATCCCTGAAAGGTGAGGTTGCCTTCTTCCCTCTGTAACATGAGAAGATTGACATTCAGTCGCGTGCTAATGCACTTATTGACCTGTTTTTTTTTTTCTGTATTTCAGTCTTGATCAGGTAGAATGGAATTTGCAGGCAACGTGGCCAGTCCGCGTGGTCTACGGCGCAAGATGGCGCGGCGACCCAATGATAAGTTGAATTCACAGTGATGCAGCACCTTGTGGAAGAGCCGGTCGGGTTTGAACACGGCAAATGTGATCAGGGCTGTGCTGCACTAACATATGAACGCAAACATTGACAAATATTCACCCTTCTCATTTCTCGTGTGGCAGAGAATTGAAGTTGGGAATCAAAAGCGCTGCCGCCGTGGCAGCACTCTGAAACGCTTTCATCTCCTCCCTTCATGTCAACAGTGTAAAACTAACAGAACGGGCGCTTCGAAAAGCTTCGGCGGCCATTGTGCTTCTCTCGAGCCAAAGTGGTAGACTGTTATTCCCAAACATTTTGCCGTGGCGCTTCCATCGAAAAAGGAGAGATGACAGCTGTAAGAGCTGCATTCATCTATACACCTTCCCTGTTTTACCTTAGCATTGCGGGTTGGTTTTTTTTTTTTCCTTCCCGCTAATCAGCATAGTGCATGATGGACTCGACGTAGTTTCCCGGGAAGAGTCCGGTGACGCCGTTGCAGACGCCTTCGAACCAGCCGTCGTCGTTCTTCTTGATAATGTAAATGATGGCTCCTTCCATGAAGGACAGCTCATCCTCTTTGTCTTTGCTGTAGTCGTAGATGGCCACAACTATAAAAATGACAAAAAATAATCTTCAACGAAGGTGAAACAACCCCCCCGCCCCACACCCTCCCGAAACCAGGTTGTTTTTTGACATACCTTTCTCTAAATAGGCCTTCGGGGCCCACTGGGGATCTCCATCGGCATAGGGGTCACTGTAATGGACAACCGCAGCCTCCTCTTCTTCATAGTCGACAGGCGGAGGAGGAGGTGGGGGCGAGGGCTCATCAAACACACCCATTTCCTCTGGTGGAGGCGGAGGAGGTGGAGCTGGGCTGTCTGTTACTGAAGGTCAACAGAATCAGAGGTGATCATAAATTATGGACGCTAAAACTGAAAAAAAACAAACATTTTCTTGAATCAAATACACCTAGAGACCATTTCGAGTGTTCTGTTAGCCTGCCATGCATCTTTTTAGGAGTGTGGGAGGAAACCCGGAGAAAAGCCACACAGGCACAGGGAGAACATGTAAACTCCACACAGGAACGCCAGAGCCGAATGAATAGTTATTTGTCTACATGTGCCCCACGATAGGTTGGCGACCAGACCGGCGTGTAACCATTTAGTCCAACAATATCAAATCTGCGGGCACCTCGTGAAAGTCGAAGATGAATTGAAAGGACGATGCAGTGATCTTTCTGCTCAGAAGAGGGCGACAGAGTTAATTTGTTGAAAATCTGGGGCATGTTGTAGCGTGAGCGTCTACTGTGGATCTCCAGCACACATTATAACGGTCCAGAAATTTGTTTTACTGGAGATGATCAACATCAAATTCTTTTTCCGACAGACAGTCTGATGGTGGACGGGGAAATCGGCGTCAGGTCACATTTGCGCCCCTCAACGGAGCGAGAACAGGTCGCCCCGCTTTATGTGATCCATCGCCATGGCAACAGACAGACATCCCAAGGACTCAGCACACAGTGCAAGCAGAGGTATGAGTGTTCAAGTCGCCAAGCAAGCAGAGTCCATGTTAAGCAGCATGTGCACGCTGAGATACATTGAATGCTCTGAGAGTGTGTGAGGAATGTGTTTCTACTCACACTTCCAAAACCCGTTTACATACGTCGTAGCTGCCTATACACGTTTATTGCAGTTAAACACACAGCGGCAACACATTGTCTGAGTACTTACTGCTCTCCTGCATTCTAGCCACAAAGCCGGTCAGAGGGATCTGTGGTGTCAGCTGGACCATCGGAGGAGGCGGAGGAGCCACAGACACTACAGCGCCAAAACCGGGCATTGTTTTTTTTGTTTTTTTCCATTAACAGTATGTGAAGAGTCATGCTATGTGCTGCATTGGGGATTTTCCATGTAGCTCATGACATACACTATATGGAAAGAAGTATCGCTGCCAAATGACTCACTTGATCACTTGGGAGTTCAACCGCACCCCTAGGGCTCTCGATACTGCAATTCGATACCTCCGACTGGAAGGTAGAGTTAGGAAAAGGGTGTTCCAATACTTCTGTCCATACAGCGTGTACTTTGTTTCAATCGTGCCGCTCTGACAGTAGATCAACTACATTCACAACATTGTAAAGACGATTACAATCAAAATGGCCGACTCTTCTCCCACTGCAAAATGAACCGACAAACAAGGCGCCCTTGTTACATTTCTCCTTTGAGTCGAGGTTGTTTGGGTTGACGATTGCTGCGGTTCAGCACCGATGGAAAGCACCACAACAGCAAGCGCTCGACCGGCAGGCAACGGCTTTGCGGCAGAATTCTGGACTTGTGTGATGCAGTCGGAGAAAAAAAAATAAAAGAAAAAGCAGTGCAGCTATTGATACGTGGTGACCTGACGCACACTCGACTCCTTCACTGACTTCAAGACGAGACACAACTTTGCTACAGTGGCTGGACAGCACATTAGTCATATGCGGCGGCGGTGAGAAATATCACTGACGGTTCCCACTGTACAAGTTCGACGGCAACGTGGCCGATGAAGAAAATGCGCACGTACAAATGAAAAGAATCACAAATGTGTCATCGACTCTTGGCGCCGCCTGTATGGAAACTGATGGAAATTCACAAGGAGTTTTCACACACAGACAAATGCACTTTACCCTACTGTTAGTGCCTCACGTCACACTTTATGTACAAGTTAGAGCAGACGAAAGAGTGTCTTGTTTTGTTTGTTTGTTTTTTATATTCTACATCAACCCGGTTGACCAGTTTTAAAGGGATTCTACGAATATCATCTCAAACATTAGAAAATGTGGACTTTTAGAAGATCGAGTCACTGCTGACATCGTGTTATTTTTTTTCCTCCATTCGTGGCACGGTTACAGATGCGGCTCGCCAGTCGGATTCACAACTAAAAGCTCTGGGCTCGAATCTGGGCTCAGACCTTTCCGCGTAGGGTTCTTTCTGTGCTTGTGTTTCTTTCGATGCCGTTTCGTCTTATTTCCTCCGATTCATAAAACGGGTGTGCTGGGTCGACGGTTGGTGACACGTGTTCAATCATCGAGAGGCAATCAGAGCAGTAGGTAGCCTGCCTCTCGCTGAAAAGTCAACCAGTGTAAGCTCAAGTTTACTCGGAACAAAAAAAAAAGTGGTCGAAAATGGACGTTTTCCTGCCCACTGCAGATCTTCTACTAAAAACATTTTCAGTGTTTTAGGTGATATCACAACAAATCCCTGAAAGGTGAGGTTGCCTTCTTCCCTCTGTAACATGAGAAGATTGACATTCAGTCGCGTGCTAATGCACTTATTGACCTGTTTTTTTTTTTCTGTATTTCAGTCTTGATCAGGTAGAATGGAATTTGCAGGCAACGTGGCCAGTCCGCGTGGTCTACGGCGCAAGATGGCGCGGCGACGCAATGATAAGTTGAATTCACAGTGATGCAGCACCTTGTGGAAGAGCCGGTCGGGTTTGAACACGGCAAATGTGATCAGGGCTGTGCTGCACTAACATATGAACGCAAACATTGACAAATATTCACCCTTCTCATTTCTCGTGTGGCAGAGAATTGAAGTTGGGAATCAAAAGCGCTGCCGCCGTGGCAGCACTCTGAAACGCTTTCATCTCCTCCCTTCATGTCAACAGTGTAAAACTAACAGAACGGGCGCTTCGAAAAGCTTCGGCGGCCATTGTGCTTCTCTCGAGCCAAAGTGGTAGACTGTTATTCCCAAACATTTTGCCGTGGCGCTTCCATCGAAAAAGGAGAGATGACAGCTGTAAGAGCTGCATTCATCTATACACCTTCCCTGTTTTACCTTAGCATTGCGGGTTGGTTTTTTTTTTTTCCTTCCCGCTAATCAGCATAGTGCATGATGGACTCGACGTAGTTTCCCGGGAAGAGTCCGGTGACGCCGTTGCAGACGCCTTCGAACCAGCCGTCGTCGTTCTTCTTGATAATGTAAATGATGGCTCCTTCCATGAAGGACAGCTCATCCTCTTTGTCTTTGCTGTAGTCGTAGATGGCCACAACTATAAAAATGACAAAAAATAATCTTCAACGAAGGTGAAACAACCCCCCCGCCCCACACCCTCCCGAAACCAGGTTGTTTTTTGACATACCTTTCTCTAAATAGGCCTTCGGGGCCCACTGGGGATCTCCATCGGCATAGGGGTCACTGTAATGGACAACCGCAGCCTCCTCTTCTTCATAGTCGACAGGCGGAGGAGGAGGTGGGGGCGAGGGCTCATCAAACACACCCATTTCCTCTGGTGGAGGCGGAGGAGGTGGAGCTGGGCTGTCTGTTACTGAAGGTCAACAGAATCAGAGGTGATCATAAATTATGGACGCTAAAACTGAAAAAAAACAAACATTTTCTTGAATCAAATACACCTAGAGACCATTTCGAGTGTTCTGTTAGCCTGCCATGCATCTTTTTGGGAGTGTGGGAGGAAACCCGGAGAAAAGCCACACAGGCACGGGGAGAACATGCAAACTCCACCCAGGAACGCCAGAGCCGAATGAATAGTTATTTGTCTACATGTGCCCCACGATAGGTTGGCGACCAGACCGGCGTGTAACCATTTAGTCCAACAATATCAAATCTGCGGGCACCTCGTGAAAGTCGAAGATGAATTGAAAGGACGATGCAGTGATCTTTCTGCTCAGAAGAGGGCGACAGAGTTAATTTGTTGAAAATCTGGGGCATGTTGTAGCGTGAGCGTCGACTATGGATCTCCAGTACACATTAAAACGGTCCAGAATTTTGTTTTACCGAAGATGATCAACATCAAACTGTTTTTCCGACAGACAGTCTGATGGTGGACGGGGAAATCGGCGTCAGGTCACATTTGCGCCCCTCAACGGAGCGAGAACAGGTCGCCCCGCTTTATGTGATCCATCGCCATGGCAACAGACAGACATCCCAAGGACTCAGCACACAGTGCAAGCAGAGGTATGAGTGTTCAAGTCGCCAAGCAAGCAGAGTCCATGTTAAGCAGCATGTGCACGCTGAGATACATTGAATGCTCTGAGAGTGTGTGAGGAATGTGTTTCTACTCACACTTCCAAAACCCGTTTACATACGTCGTAGCTGCCTATACACGTTTATTGCAGTTAAACACACAGCGGCAACACATTGTCTGAGTACTTACTGCTCTCCTGCATTCTAGCCACAAAGCCGGTCAGAGGGATCTGTGGTGTCAGCTGGACCATCGGAGGAGGCGGAGGAGCCACAGACACTACAGCGCCAAACCGCCACATGAGAGGAGGCGGCGGCAGAGGGGAGGTTGATGCGGTGGATAGAGAAAAAGACAAGTGAGGAGCGAAGCAACGACATGGACGCGATGAAGCATTGAAGAGTGACGGATGAGGGAAGGTGAGGACAGAACGATAAAGTACTGCTAGCGATGTTTGCTACGAGCAGTCTTTTGTGTGAGCGTGAGGCGAGACTGCAATAGCTCTGTGTTCGGACGGCAACAACGAGGCACATCTTTGATATAGAGCAGAGGCACCTTCCTTGCCAAATGGCCCTTGATTGAGAGACTTTGTTCCTGTCTAATACCCTTGAAGATTGGCTACCTGGGGATAAGATACGTTTTCAAATCAATGAGTGAACAGCTGCAGTTTAAATAAATAAAAAGAGCAAACGTTTCCCCAATACCCTAACCTAACCCCAACCGTAACTTAACACAGACCCCTAAATGCGACCTCGACCCTAACCTAACCCCTAACCCTAACCCCTGACCCTAACCTAACCGTGGAATTACACACTACACCAGGCACCATGCACTGTGTATGTCCGTGAGCAGTAAAAACATTCCAACAGTCTCAAAGAGGATGTCCCCGTTTTGGTAGCCTGCTGATGGGTCATTATCGCTTCCCACATGAGACCACAAACCTCCTCCCTCTCTGTTTTATGTTGTCCTACGACAGAAGCCATTAGAGTTAAATGGCGCCGAGTGATGTTGCCACGATAAACTGCGCAGTTCCCCAACAAAACAACAAAGCCAAAGGTCTGGGTTTCTCTTCCCCCCACCCACCCCCCCAAGCAGCTGTTGTGCCATGAAGTGTCTCCTTCCTCTGTTGTAAAAGACCACCGATTAAAATTTCAATCGGAAAGAGCAATTCTGAACATCCAACGTCAGACTTTTGAGCTCTTTTGCATAATCGGAGACTGAAAATTCCTCACACCAGATTTCTGGCAAAGCTTTGCAAATGGAGTCATTGCACACGTCAAGCCCGCCGTTACCTGAATTCTGCGGGAATGCCGGACCCCCGTTAATATGGGGCTGCTGAGAGGAAACAGAGGGAGCGCGGCGATACGTCCCCGTGGCCGACACCATGGAGGCCGAGGAGGTGGTGGAGGAGTTGTGACGTGAGATCTGCCGAGAGATGGTGCCAAACTGCGACATGGGGATCGGACCCAGCCCGGGCCCTTGTGGCACTGAGGCGGAAGATGTCGCCGCTGTTGGAGCAGGAGTAGCAGCTTTACAGCCTGAAAATTTGCTTCTGTGATTTACATATACAACATATTTGAATAAATGCGTTCGGTCGACTTCGAATAGTAAGAAGGTCAAATAGACCGAAGCATAGAGAGTGTACCTCAGAGCTGCAGGAACTCACCTTGGCCCATACTGGGAGGAGAAGGTGTCGGGACCGCCAAGGGGACACCCACTCCACTGTTTCCACTGCTCTCCCTGCCACCGCTGCCACCACTGCTGCCGCTGCACATGAAAGAAGACTCCACTCATTTTTTTTTTCAATGATGTGTGCGGCAAATGTCACGACTACGTTAGCCATCCCGTCAGAATGATTTCTTTCTGCCATGACACTCGACGCCTGTTCAATCTGGGCTATCTTTTTTTTTTTTTTTGAACATGGGATGAAGCCAAAGTACTCGGAGAAACCTGACACAGGCAGACGGAGGACGTTCCTCTGCCCTTTAATATGTCGTAAGTAAAACGATTTCTTAATGAATGAATGTCCTTGTTGTTGAAATGTGGTATGAAATGTGAAAAGAAAATACATTTGCCAGAGGAGGATTTGGCCTGAGCAGTATCTCAGGCCAAATTAGCTCGTATCTACCGTACATGCGGTCACGAGCGTACCTGTGTGTGCGGGGCCTCTGATTGAGCGAGGCTGTACGCGCAGGGCTCTGCTGGCCGCCCAGCCGGGCTGGGCTTGTCATGTAGTCGTTGGGCACCACTGGAGGCTTCACCGGCTCCAGCGTCTTGTAGGGGGTGTTGCGTCTGTAGGCAGAGAAAAAAAGAAATTGTGACTGCATCGGAAGTATGTAACTTGGGAGTTTTAACATGCAGAATAAACAGAAAACACACAGTCGCTCATAATTTCCTTGAATAACGCAGCAATTTTTATCCACCCTTACCCCAAGGTGCCACGGCCAGCCATTGGGGGGCTGGGGGGTTTCTGGGTTGGTGGGTTTGTCCTGGACAGTGTCCCCCCTCCTCGTCCTGCAGCATTGTTCCCATTTTGCTGGAGAGAAAAAGAAAAAGCCCTGTCAGTGACACTCAAACTTGGATTCATATTATTTAAAATGGGTGGGAGATCTTTTTTTGGGGGGGGGGGCATGCCTTTTGGATGAGCAAATGCCCTTAATATCGGGTTGCATGAATATTGTGAGTGCATGGGGTTTTAGTACATGCTGGTAAAGAAAAGATAAAAGGTAACTTATCTCTTACCTTGGCTTTAAGCCACTGAGTGCAAGCCGATAAAAAAAGAGAGGAAAAAAAAAAAAAGAAAACAGTTTATGCATGTTGGTTAATGGTTTAATAGGCAGTCGTGTATTTCAGCAGCATTACGTGATGGGCTGTTAAGAAATCATTGGAGGCGAGTCACAGATGCATTCGACACGACAGCAAGTTCAGCTTCCGGCCCATTCCACCGGCACTGGATAAACCGGCGACGTTTGGAGCGAACACATTTCGGGAAAAAGGGGACTTTTCTCAGGCTGTCTTAGGAACTCAAGCTGAAACTTGGGAAACAAATTGCTTCTCTTTTTGGCAGGGAAATGTGTCCCGTCAAGGGCTCCTCTATTTATCTGCCTCCCATTCCTCATGCCAAGAACCCCTGCGGGGACACTTGACAACCGACTGCCCTGTTCTGCCAACAAAGTAACAAAGTACAGTAGCGGTGCCTGTTTCCCAACAGTTTTTTTTTTTTCAAACGGTAGTTGAAGATACATGTGACAACATCTTGCTGTTGTTGTCAGCATGGACCGCTTTAGAAACAGCGCCCCGTTGAAGACAACAAGCCGTCGCTATGGATGGGCCAAAAGCGGGCCGTGCCCGCCCACTCGAGGCACAGATCTCTAAAAATGAACAAAGCTTTTTCAAAATAGAATTTTGTCGTGTGATCATCAAAAACTTGGAGAAAAGCTAAGCACGTACTGCGAGTAGGGTCAAGATAATAATTGCCCCTCCGCCGCCAACGCATTTTATGTGCCACCCTTTAAACTGAGGTCTGGCATCGACGGCGCTACGAAGCATGGCAGCTCAGATTGGAAATATTTTTGAAATAGTAGCGTGGTTAGAAAAATCCTTCAACCAGTCGTGATTTTTGCTGAGATTCATCATTTCCAGCAATTCGGACTAATCCGGGGGGCAAAATAAAAGCTGCCGATTTTAAATCAGGAGATATTTGAAAACCAGAAGACTGACACTATCTTGGCAGAAACAGTGACAGAAAACGGGATGAAGAGGCCGACTAAAACGCTGCGGGGGGGGGAGAAAAAAAATGACACCAGCAATCAATGCACATAATTGTGTCGACACTTTCGGAGGGGCACAAACACACACACACACGCGCGCTGCTTGGTCGAAAAAATGAGCAAAGAGGGGGGAGCAGATGGATCATGTGGAGAGAGAATACACATCAAGCATGAAGCAGGAAAGAGTCAACAAACCATTTCCTCCGGATTCTCCGTAGAAAGCGATGGGTGACATTAGGCAAAGATGACTCTTTCCTGTACACTCGCGGCCGATTGTGAGCTTGTCGTTGGCGCATTTGCCCGCATGTTAAAACGACAGCCTCTTAGCATGAAAATCTCGATTGGCGTTGTCGAAACAGACGGCAGTGAAACAAAATGACCATTGATTTTATCCGGACAGAAATGACCAAAATGAATCTTACTTTTACTCCGTGCCCGACATCATCCAGCAGCGTGTAATCGATCGGTTTTCGAATGTAGCGCACGGGCCGCTCCACGTTGCCCGGGGCGATGATCTTATGGGTGCGAGAGGTGTTTTTATTGGTGGTCAGGATGCCAATCTCACGACGGGCGACCTTCTCCTTGTGAATGTCCACCGTCTGCGGGAGATAAAGCAGGAAGAAAATACAAATAAAAAACAATAATAATGCCAGTTGTTCATATATGCCCTGTAACTACGTACTTGCTCTTTGGCTGCGACATTTTGACTGATTTGCTTGATTTATTGGGATGCAAAATGGAACGGAGCATCATTTTCATTGGCCGTGTTGCGGTGTGACAGGTTTAAATGGGTGCAATGGAAAGACTTAAGAGATGCTTTCCGTCTGCCCTTCAGCGGGCAACGTGAGGAACTGATCTATGCCGTCAGTGCCCCGTTAATGTCAAAGCCCAAAGATCAGGAAGGAGAGGGGCCATTTTGGACCATCATCGACTCTGTGTGACGACAAACGCAAAAGGGCAGAAAGCATCGGACTGTGCTCCGCCCGGTGGAGTAAAACAGGAGCTGAAAATGCTAAGCAAGCGTGAGTGCCAGTGTCGGGATTTCCCTTCATCCCTGACAGGCTTAGTAAAGCACACAGGAGGGGGGTAAGGGGGCGGGGGGCATTCACTGGTTGACGGGCAAGGGCCGTGGCCTTGTGAAGCACAGAAAGAGCACGAGAAAAGGAATAATGAAGAAAGAGGGGTCGAGGGGCCGTGGGTGTTTGGCAGCTCTTGTATGATTGCGGTGTACGGGTGGCGGGTGTTTTTTTCTGGCATCGGCTCGGTTCCACGCGAGCTGAGTGCTTGAGACTGAAGGTACTTGCGTATGATCAGCCTCCATCCTCGCAATTCACCTTAGCTGACTTGTGAGCCAGTCACACTGCTACTTCATCAGGAAAAAGACGACTTCGCATTAGTCAGTGGCTATAAAGGGGCCCGGAGTTGTTCCAAAACACATTTGAAGACGCTGAGTTGAGCGATCCATGGAGAGTCATTTAAAATATTTTTCATTAGTAATCAGGACAGGAGGAGCAATTTGGAAAATGGACGGGTAGTAATTAATGTGTTTTGACCTCAGAGTGTGATTATTTACGTATCAGTGAAAAACAAAAATGGCAAAACCGTTGTGTAGATGTATGGTCTACTTTTAAAAATGGATCTGGATGTTTTTTTTTTTTCTTCAGATATGCAGAGCTTCCATTGGAGTTCCAAATTCTGTCGTCTTGGATTTCATGCCGGTGGACTCATTTCATGCGGTGACTTTGGTGCCGGTGTGCCTCGCTCGATCTTCCGCGGGTGTGCTTCCCGTACCTGGGAGATGTGGTTAATGGAGGACTCCATGCGTCGTAGTTGCGAGGCCTGGATGTCCAGTAGCTGGAGCACATTATTGGCTAAGGCATTGATTTGGTAAGCCACGCTGGCCAGAGACTGAGTGGTGTAGGACTTGGTCTCCTCCAGGGCCTTCCTCTTGTCTTGAGCCTGAACAAAGAGAAGACGATCTGAGGTGCTCGTCCCGTCGTAAAAATCCCACGCGTGCAAGGAATGTCGACAGCAGCCAGTAAAAGTGCTGGCATGCAAACCTTTCGGGTCATTTCGACGGAAATCGTTCCGATGGAAGATCTCGGGTATATTGTTTACGTTGAATTAGAATAGCCGTTTTACAGACACGTGACACGCTCAGATGGATGTAAATACCCCGCATTTATGTCAAGACGGGACACGCGCAGCCTGACAAGCGACAACATTCCGACTGACTGTTTACGTGATGAAAAATGACCTCTGATGGATTTGGCAGAATGCATATTCTACTCATGTGAAACCAAATGAAATTCCATTCGGGGGTTGGCCTGTTTTCTCCAAACGAGGTGTTTATTAGAGACTTCAGATATGCAGAGCTTCCATTGGAGTTCCAAATTCTGTCGTCTTGGATTTCATGCCGGTGGACTCATTTCATGCGGTGACTTTGGTGCCGGTGTGCCTCGCTCGATCTTCCGCGGGTGTGCTTCCCGTACCTGGGAGATGTGGTTAATGGAGGACTCCATGCGTCGTAGTTGCGAGGCCTGGATGTCCAGTAGCTGGAGCACATTATTGGCTAAGGCATTGATTTGGTAAGCCACGCTGGCCAGAGACTGAGTGGTGTAGGACTTGGTCTCCTCCAGGGCCTTCCTCTTGTCTTGAGCCTGAACAAAGAGAAGACGATCTGAGGTGCTCGTCCCGTCGTAAAAATCCCACGCGTGCAAGGAATGTCGACAGCAGCCAGTAAAAGTGCTGGCATGCAAACCTTTCGGGTCATTTCGACGGAAATCGTTCCGATGGAAGATCTCGGGTATATTGTTTACGTTGAATTAGAAGAGCCGTTTTCCAGACACGTGACATGCTCAGATGGATGTAAATACCCCGCATTTACGTCAAGACGGGACACGCGCGGTCAGAGCGCAGCTTGACAAGCGACAACATTCCGACTGACTGTTTACGTGACGAAAAATGACCTCTGATGGATTTGGCAGAATGCATATTCCACTCGTGTGAAACCAAATGAAATTCCATTCGGGGGTTGGCCTGTTTTCTCCAAAGAAAAAAAAACATCTCAGCAGCTAAAAATAATAAATGAACATATTATCCTAATTTCCAGCTGTTTTGTAAAATGTTCTAACGCTTGGATTTGCTGTTATTCTGTTCAGGCGGAGGGATTATCCTTTGCCTCGTTTTAAATCTCTCATCTAAAATCCCATCAGTGTTGTTTAAATGGCATAAAATCATGATGACTCACAATCTACCGACATAGGAAATGTGTGTCAATAGTACCGTTTGTTCTTTGGGCATTAAGATTGAGGTTGTCACAGTGCCAGAGACCCTTGTATAAGGGACTGTCCTCTCCGCAGCATGTCATGCCACGCGTTGTGCAGGCCTTTGGACTGCGACCGTATTGGCCGCGAATGCGGCCTGCTTCTCAATGCGTGCGAGTTAGAATTTCTTCTGGTCGCATCGGTCCTAGTGCAGACCTTTTCATGCTCCCACCAAGACAGTCACGGGAGCAGACGTCGGGGTTGAAAATCACTAGGCTGGGTAGTGCCAACAACCTCAGGATACGACACGCTGCATGTCTATCCGGATACGAGGCCTACAAGGCCATACGTATCCCAATAACTGGAGGATCTCACGCGCCTTGAAGCAGGTGTCCACTGTTGTTTATGTTCCTTGCTCTGGCAAATAACGTGGATGGGGCGCTTACATGCGTTCATTGCCCGCGGACTGATGCCTTGAAGCAGGTGTCCACTGTTGTTTATGTTCGTTGCTCTGGCAAATACGTGGTTGGGGCGCTTACATGCGTTCATTGCCCGCGGACTGAAGACCGGTGATAAAAATGGCCGCCGTCCCCTACATCTCATTTATGATCAATGGAGACAAAGACGCCTCCTCCACATAAGAGTCTGAGATTGTCCACCACCTCGGTGAGGAGGCAAAAATACCAATGGATGGATGATGACACTTGGGAAACAGCACCATTTCCAGGTTGGGTTCTTGTAGGCTGAAATGTGGACTTTTTTCGGCAGACACAGATGACATGGAACCCTCCATTTTGCTTGACGTAAAAAGAGTGACTTTAAACTTTGCATCTGTGGGGGCAATGCCCGGACTGCAACCGTATTGGTCGCGAATGCGGCCTGCTTCTCAACGCGTGCGGGTTAGAATTTCCTCTGGTCGCGTCGGTCCTAGTGCAGACCTTTTCATGCTCCCACCAAGACAGTCACGGGAGCAGACGTCGGGGTTGAAAATCACTAGGCTGGGTAGTGCCAACAACCTCAGGATACGACACGCTGCATGTCTATCCGGATACGAGGCCTACAAGGCCATACGTATCCCAATAACTGGAGGATCTCACGCGCCTTGAAGCAGGTGTCCACTGTTGTTTATGTTCCTTGCTCTGGCAAATAACGTGGATGGGGCGCTTACATGCGTTCATTGCCCGCGGACTGAAGACCGGTGATAAAAATGGCCGCCGTCCCCTACATCTCATTTATGATCAATGGAGACAAAGACGCCTCCTCCACATAAGAGTCTGAGATTGTCCACCACCTCGGTGAGGAGGCAAAAATACCAATGGATGGATGATGACACTTGGGAAACAGCACCATTTCCAGGTTGGGTTCTTGTAGGCTGAAATGTGGACTTTTTTCGGCAGACACAGATGACATGGAACTGGATGGATGATGACACTTGTGAAAAGTGACTTTAAACTTTGCATCTGTGGGGGCAATGCCACAGAGGCTTTGAATGTGGTCATGTGACTGACCGGCTCCGTTTGATCGGTCAAATATTTGATTGGTGAAACAGCATCAAGAGACGGAAATCTCTCGGACACACCAAAAGCAATAGAATGGCGGAAACATTAAGCAACGCTTTTTTTTTTTTATGGGAGTCAGCGGCATGTTTCTTTCTGTAGTCAAGCTTTTGTGGGGGATCCAATTTGAGTAATAAGTCGAGTCCAATGTAACATTGTACTACCATGACACAATTGGAAATCATGTGACACGTTTGTGAGTCATAGCTGAAGCAGGCATTAGTCAGAAGAGAACACGGGAGCTGGAGGAAGGGAATCGGCTGGATTATTTCCCCTCATAGTAATGCGTCACTGTCACAAATTTCAGTTTGTGGCGAAGTATCAATTAATGTCGTTTAAAAGAGTTGAAAGGAAAGGAAGAACAAATACAGTGTAGCGCATGAAGTAAAGGTTGATATAAAAATATATCGACTTTGGTTCAGTGAGTTGCTATATTTGGATTACGGCTTTTGAAAGGCAAACACTTCAAAACTGTGCTCTGGTTTGGGTGATGTTTCAAGATGAATGAGTGAAATTGCTTGAACATCAGAGGAAATGTGTTTCTTTGGTGGAATGGATTAATTCTTTAAATTATATGAAAACATTCATCGTTGCTAGAAACACTTCAAAACTGTGCTCTGGTTTGGGCGATTGTTTCAAGATGAATGAGTGAAATTGTTTGAACATCAGAGGAAATGTGTTTCTTTGGTGGAATGGATTAATTCTTTAAATTATATGAAAACATTCATCGTTGCTAAAGCAGAAATTAATTTTTGTTTGTGTGTTTTTTTTTTTTGGCCTGAACATCAGGCATTTTCTCACCAGTCAATTTCATTTGGAGAACTGGTCATGTTTGCCTTTTGTTTCTGGGTTCAGTTTACTTTAGCTTCTCCAAGAGTTTAGAGTTTGGGGTTTTGAGTCGGGGGTGTTTTAAATTTTTTTTTTTTTTTTTTAATAAATTCTTGCACTTAATGTTGGTTTGGTACATGGAATGGTACATTTTGCGAGAGTCCTTTGCACTGGAAGAAAAAAAAATCACATGTCGTTACTATGTTATTTGCTTCAAATCCTTTATTGTTGGGTTAGGATAGAGGATTTTTTATGCATGTATTGAGAAATGTAACATAGGAAATTAAATCTTTTAAGGTCACATTTTGTGCATGTGCATGTATTTTGTCCTTATTTAAATGCCTAGAGACAGAATCAGACATTTCTTTGAGCATCCACCAGTTTTTATTTGTCCTGTCTCCTTGCGCCGAAGTTTTTCTATTAAATTGTATCTTTCATTATTCTTCAATCACAATGCTCTTGTCCTGTGTCCAGCCCATGTTTGCTTTCTGAAACCACTCACAGGGAGGAGAAGCACCTGATTTAATATACTGTAGTGCATAAGGTATAGCAAGCAGAATAGTTTTCTGAATAGTAATCCTTCCAAATTTCTCACAGTTTGCCATGAGCACTGCATTCGAGTGTCACGTACACTGTTTTCTGTTTGGATGAATGGCAACAAAAAGCACATGCATCTTGTTTCAACTGCCTGGATTTAAATATCAATGCCATTCAAATACATGTGCACATTAGGTACACCTGCACAGGCTAATGAGAGGCACTACAGGCTGATGCGAAATTCTTCCTTGATTTAGATGAGTTTTTATGATTATTGACAAAACAGTAACCAATGTGTATCACTGTGGCTGCAGTTCGCAGTAGTGTTGAACTGCATTACATCATACTGAGTTATGGGCCTCGTGTTTTGGTTTACCTGATTTAGCTTCAAAATGCCCACCCGTGCAATAAATAGCATTCTTACACAACAGAAACACGAAGCCTTTGCAATGAATCATGAAATCCAGTATGTGAGTACATATTCAAATATACTGACTAACCTGCACCTGCATTGGAAATACATTCAATTCCATCACATTCAAGTTGTAATATTTGCAGACTCATGTAATGATTTGCAGGAGATCCGAATTACACATAGTAATGAAATCGTTGTCTCACCGTTAGGTGATAACGAGTGCCCAATTTTCTCGTGTAAGTGTTCTGTAAAAATCGAATGCTAGCTCACCATTTTCAAACGGAAGAAAACGCTGTTTTGCGATGCCCACCACCCACCCCAGATCCCCCCCAAAAAAATGTTACGACGCTCACATGCTACAATCGGGTACTTGTTAAGGCATAAAGACATAGCAAATGTAATTTTATATATCGGCCAGTAGCACGTTACGTCGTAAACTGCAGTCAGTGACTAAACACTTGGACAGAACAACGACACACCCTCTACAACCACCAGCAGCTTTGAACACATCCATGAGAGGCTCGGTTTCCACACCTTCAAAATAGTCGCATTACTCTCACCGCATAGACGGCTGAATCGC